TGATGGATTAACGCCGGGTCTTTGTAGATGATATACCAGAGAATAAGCTCTTTTACCTGCTCTTTGTAAAGTGTCTTTGAGATAACAGTTGTAGGGCGGCAGTAGCTTAGTCTGTAAGGACTTGGGTTGGCGGTTCAAGTCCTGGTGGGGACCAAATCTGGAAATACAACAGAGTGTAAAAATGTAGTTTCCCCTTTCGGATCAATAAAGTATATCATCTTTGAATTGGCGCTATACAAAGAAAGATTGATTGATTGATTGAAGGATAAACGATATTTGTAATGTGTTTTTTTAAGGGGTTCCAGGCAGCCTAGTGGTTATGTCACAGGCCTCGTGTACAGAGGCTGTAGTCCTCGTCTCAGTGCTCCTGGGTTTGAATCCACCTCCAACCCTTTGCTGCATGTCACCCCCCCTACTCTCTCATCCCAACGTTTTCCTCTCTCTCTTAAGCTGTCCTGTCAAAAATAAATAGAAGAACCTGCCCTTAAACACCTGCAAAGCTACAGAGGTCATGTGAGGTGTGTTCTAATACAGGAGAGTAAACATGTGCAACAGGTGTTCAACATTCATCCAGAGTACAAATACAACATTTACATATTTGTTTTTACAAATCCTTCAGGGCAGCTCAAAGACGCTTGTTTTTAGTAAGTCAGGTCGGGGAAGAGAACACTTGAACTGTGCAAAACAAAGGTTTCATAAAAAAAAAGATATGTGTGTTCTTACTGAAGAAATAAACAAACAAAAGGAAAACAATGGCTGCTTTGTTTCAGGGTTTGCAAGTACATGACAGTGGAAAAGTCAAATCAGTTTTTGTTCTAGGTAACAATAGTTCACGGTGGAAGAGAGGAAAGCAGACAATAACTGAACACCATATTTATGATAAATCTAAAAATGTCTCGTGTGTGTTGTTTTGTTTCTTCACACTGGAAGATAAAAAACTCAACTCAGACTTTAAAGCTTGAGTGTCTGACTTTGAGATAAACATGAACAACAGCTCTCTTAACCTCATGAATCTCTTATTTCACTTATTATGAGAGTTATAATCTTGTGACTGTGGTGACATTTAATACATTTTATATCAACAAGCAAAGCTTTCCTAGAGTCGGCTACATTCACTCAGAGTATCGGAGCGTTTGATGAAAAAAGAAAAGAAATGTCTACTCTCAAAGGTTTCTGATACTATAGTTGAAGACACTGAGAGCTCAGAGAACGCTTCAGATCCAAAAATCATTCATGACTGACTGTCAAAAGTATGTCTACACTTTTTGTGTAATTACTCTTTTTGCCAGAAGGGGGCAACAAAAAGCCCAGGCTATATAAAATGCCAGTGTCGGCTTGTGCGTTCACACATGCACAAAACTCCTGAAGTTTTTCAGGGTGAGGTGCATGTGTGGACGCAAACAGCCGAACTTTCTTTGGAGCTTCCTGGTATTTTTTTCTGCAGAAAGTCCGAGTGACGTGAGAACGCAGCATCAGGAGAATGCACCTCGAGGGAGTGGGAGGTGACGTTTATTACCTGCGATCGTTTCATGACTGTCTGCATGCAAACTGCTGCGATCTTCTGTGTTGTTTTTCCTGCCAGGTATTTTCTTCTCCGCTTTGCTGTTGACATTGAGTGTGTCACTATAACACGTAGCATTGATATAAAGACAAATATTCTTATTATAGCGTCGGGTAGCGGACTCTTTAGCTTCATGCACCACTATGTTATCTCTCTTTTTACGTCGTGTCTTGCCTTCAGGTTTGAGGGACTTTAAGATTTATTTTTAGGCTTTTTGTGCCTTTAATGGAGAGATAGGACAGTGGATAGGGGCGGGACTTGATCCCAGGCCGCCCGCCCAGAGGACCACAGCCTCCATGCATTGGGCGCGCACACTAACCACTGCGCCACCAGCACTTTCATTATTTCTCAACAGTAAGACCTCAAGTTGATTTTCTTCTCCAGAAAAAGAAAGCTATTTAAAATGGTTAACTCTTTTAATAGTTAAGCATTTAGTTCAGTTGGCGACATGATGTCTCATCAAGGAAAAAACATGTCAACTGTACGTGTGAAGTTGTTAAAATAAAAAGTCACGTTACACTGTCAGAGCTGCTGGCCAATATTATCACACTGAGTGGATGCATGACGTCCTTTTTGGTTTGTTGTTTCCTTAATTAGCATAAAAACATACATGGGAAGTGTTCTATCTATCGAAGACAAAAAAACATCTCAAATCTTTACACTATAACTCACACTGCACACTCATGTCTGATTTCCTCTCTCACAGCAGGTGCAGGCTGTTTAATCTCTTCTACATCTACTCAACCTCACACTGTTGTTCAGGGCGATAGAAGAGTGGAGTTGGACTCATCTGGCCCACTCTCCATCGTTTGTTCTTTTTTAAACACACTCACTTGAATTAGAGTGCGGCAGAGTGTTGGGTCAGGTACAGTGCAAGGTCCCTGGAGCTGTTTAGCAGTTAAGTGGCCGTAATGCATTTAGTGTAAAGTGACTGGGATTGGGGGGGCTTAGCCACAGCTCTCCGCCTCATTCTTAGAAAAGTACCTCCAGGTGCTAATACCAGCCGGATTTGTGGCACTCATTCACAAACAGCTTGACTTCTGCAGCACAGAGTCACTCTCAGTCTACCTCCCCTCTCCATTTTTATCCTTTTTTTTTCAGTCTGTCTGTCTTCTACTTCACTGTGTCTGTCGCTTACATGATTCATGTCCGTCTCCGCATAGCAAAAACCTGTCCTTCATAATCCTCTCCACTGTCTGTCTCACTTCTTTCTTTTACCACTAAAGTCTCCTCCACACTTTCACTCCTCGCAGTCTCCTTCTGAAGCGTTCCCCGAGTTTTAAATCTCTCCCCTCTCTCTCTCTCTCTCTCTAATGTCTCTCGACGGCGCCTTACGAAACCAGCCACCCCTCAAAGTTGCGTGCTCGCTGTACTCGTCCTACATTTCTGAATACACACTCGTCTACGCTGAATGAGCAGTCAGTTAGAGGGAGACAGACACTGCAGTGCTTCAATATGAGGGGTGTGGAAGATGTCTGGAGAGCCCGCTCGCTCTGCAACCTACATGTGTGTGTGTTTGTGACATATTTTATGGATTGATGAGTCACAGGTTGTACATGTAGAAGCCATGAAATGTGTACAGTAAACACATAAACGCTGAGCTTGTGTGTGTGTGTGTAAGAATCCTCTTTGCATGTGTGTGCAAAGTAAAAACAAGTATAACAAACATGCACTTTTCTTTTCTGTACATGCAACATTGCACGCCCATATGTTTGCATGCTACAGGAGGCTCCATAATGTACACGGTATCCCCGATAGTGTGTGTGAGTGTGTTTGCTTGCACAGGGCTAGGCGCAGTGTGTGTGTGTGTGTGTGTGTGTGTGTGTGTGCTCCAGTACACGTACAGCTTATGTAACGCTCAGGCATGTTCTAACTCCACTGCGTCTGCTGTGTGTGTGTAGGCGCTTGCTTGTATGCGTGCGCCTAGTTGTGTGTAGCAAGGAGAAGTGTACCCGCTTGCTTGTGTGCATATACGTGTGTGTGTGTGTGTGTGTGTGTGTGTGTGCGTGTGCCAAGCAGACTGCAATGCCGCAACCAGCCAGCTCTGTATCATCATTGACCAAACTCGCCATCTGTGCCTGTAAGCTATAGAAACAGCAAGTCGCACTGCTTCACAGCAATGCACACACACTTTGTGCGTTGTTTTGTAATCGCAGGGGGACATCACTGAGTCGTTGTGTGCGTTGGTGTTTGTTGCACACGCACACAGCCGTGTTTAAGTGTGTATGTGTGTGTGCACTCGTGCGTGTTTAACAGTGATTTTTTTTTCCAGCCTGTTAGCATGTTGTCAAGTATTCTTCAGTGCATTAGAGCCTGTACCTGCTTGTTCACATGCCTGTCTGCTTTGTGTGTGTTTGTGTCACTGTGTGTGTGTGTGTGTGTGTGTGTGTGTGTGTGTCACTGTGTGTGTGTGTGTGTGTTTGTTTTGTGCGCAGGCAGGGAGGCCCACGGTGTATATGGGTCACTCTCTCAGGAACCATAATTCCACGTTTGGTCCAACTTACTCTCTGGGGTTTCACTCTTCCTGTTTGGCCAAGCTGATGGCAACAAGCATAATGACCTCACCACATCACTCGGTCATTGGCCTGCAGACCCCGTGCCTCTCGGCCAATCACGCGCAGCTCTGGTGACGTACAGCCTCCAGCGGTCGCTCCGATTGGCTGCGGAGGAGGGACTTAGGGACGCTGGGCCGTTTGGAGCGCCTCTGATTAGCTGGGAGGAGGAGAGGGGGAGTCTGTGAGAGAGGGATGGAGGGAGAGGCAGAATGACAAATTGGGAGATGGTGTTTTTTGGGACTCCTTTGAAACTACACTCAACCTGTGGCTCAAAGAGAGCATGTATAAAAGACACTAGGCTGCATGTATGATTACATATACAAAACAAACATCTGGTAGATAGTCAACCAGTCTTGTTAAAGCTTTTTTGTTTTTTTACGCGTGTTAGGTGAAGTTATAAAAAGCATGAGGCAGCATGGGACGTGACATATTGATCTATATCAAATTGAATATGTCATGCAAGCCCTTTCCGTGCACTGCAAGGACTTAACCCCGTTTCAAACACAGACCAATCTACGCTTGCTTTTTTTTTTTTTTTTTTTTTTTTTGCTTGCGCACAAATGAAGAAAAGAGATGAATCCAAAGGAGAAAAAAGAGAGAGAGAAAAAAAAAGATTTCATTCCCGTCCTGCGTGCTTGTAGAAGTCACACAGACATGCCCACAGAGGAGCCTCATTGGCCACTGCGACCTCTCTCTCCCAACAGCTGTTCTGTGTTTTCCCACACTGCGATTGGCCGCGGCGCGACGTCCGTCAAATTTACTTTGACGCGCGGCTCCGCCCCCAATCCTCTTCCGCGGGATCCCATTGGCTACTGTACGCATTCGTGCTCCGCTATTGGCCACCCCGGCTGGTTGTCAAGGCTTTGGGCTTCATTCACCATTTTGCGACTGTAGTGTAGAATGTACAGGGCAGTAGTTTTTCCTCCTTTTAAGTTGCTTTGCCGGAGAAACATGAACGGTCGCTGACTGGCAGCTGCGGACGACTGGCCACTCTGCCCTATTTTACCCGGCGGACTCCACAGAAAATCACTCTGGGGAACTATATATTATCTCTGGTGAGTATAAGCTGCCCACAAATCTTTCTCCTGCAGCACTGCAGTGGGGCTTGTTGTGCTTTTTCGCCGAGCTGCTAACGTTGTTCATGTTTACTGTGGCCATAAACAGTATTAGCAGTTGAGTTGATTGAGCGTATTTTCCGATCACTGGGTGGCCTGCGGAGAGGAGCAGAGGGCGGATTGGGTGTCTTCTGTGAGAAAAAAAAGGGAGCGGTGCGGTTAGACATAGTGAGCTCGAAACTTTTCCACTAGAAATAAATTCAACGCCATGACAGCCTCTGGACTTCCTAGAACAACTCTTATTTTTTTAGTGCGTTGTCTCCAAAACTCCTTGACGCTTGTCATTCCTCCTCCTCCTCTTCTTCTCCCTTACATTGACACATTTCTTCCTCTTTTTCATGAATCAACGTGGCTGTAGGGGGTTTGTAGGCCTGCTCCCTTGGACTACTTTGTTGCCACATATTGTTACTTTCTCCCCCCCCCCTCCTCTCTTGTATGCAAATGACGACAAAGGTCGCTGCAAAGCTTTCCCGGACGGCTCGAGCTATGGTTTTACGCGACTGTCACTTTCGGATGGGCCAAAAAAAACAACAACAACAAAAAAAAAAAAAACAACACTTTAACCATTGTTAGTCGTTGTGTTGTGATGGATTGACAAAGTTAACGCGTTCATCTGCCCGGCACACATCTCACAGTCACGCAGCATAGTGAATATGTGTCGTATTGCATGGTATTAAGGGTCGATATGTGCGTTAAAGTTGTCATTTCCCGGGGAGAGTGAGTGGAGGATTTCCAAGCGGCCTTGTGTGTAGTTGAGGCCTGGTCGCTGCACGCCACGGCCTGCTGTGTTGTGGAGTAAACTGGTAGTAATCGGTGTACTACGAGGGCTTGACACATAGTCGGTACTATCCAGCTAAACCAGAGGTGACGACATCACCTCCTGTAGTTTGCATATTGTGCTCTGGGGCCTTGTCTGGCTGATATTAACAGCTGTTATCTACTCTGGATTATGAAAGTGTCAATATATTTATCCTTGCTGACCTGTCTAAATGAAGCACTGTAGTAATCCTGTTATAGACTCTCAAAGGGCTGCTAATGCTAATGACAAAACTTTTTATGGTCATGCATTGTGGTGTTGGTAAAAATATAAAGAGTTATAAACACACAGGAAGCTTAAGATGAGCTACAGGGGACTGCCTGATCGTAATACGTTCACATATGGACACTGTAAGGTGAATCACAACAGAGACATGCAAGAGCTGATGAATGATATGAACAGTTAGATATGCAGACAACACTGTAGTTCAAGAGCATTACATATTCAAACTGAATTTGTACAGTGTGAGTTTGCTTTAGCCCCGTTTCTGTTGAAAAGGTGATTAATAAATGACCTCAACTTGCACAATCGCTACGCTGAATGATGCCTCCACAAAGGTAGAAACATAATGTCTTTGTCCCCTCACATGACTTTACTCTGCCTACAGTCGTGTTTACTGTGTTTTCATGTTCACCTCTAAAGATAAACACTTTTATGCAAATACAACAAGGGCCCGGCTGACAAACTGGTGTGAGAATATTACTGTTCAGATACGGGACTGTCCCAGGTGTTTTTCTTTTTTTTTGTCTGATTTGCACCGATGTCAGAGCTGAATGTTTTGAGGAAACTACGATGTGCTTGTGGTGGTAAAACTTGTCATCACAAACCTCGTACTGAAGAGAGCTTTTTTCCAAAATGACTTGAGACTGGAGGATCTCATTTCACTTTTCACTCCATCTTTTAAGACAAAAAAACAAAACAAAAAAAACGTGAAACCATTGGACAGTGTCTGTGTTTTTGATCTGTAATCTGTGATCACGACTCGGCACTTTATCTGGGAACCGATTTGCACATGCTTGTTGTTTTCTCTTACCTCATTGTTTGTAAACTGTTTCTTAATCATGTCATATTTATTTTATATTTATGACGTGTGCTGCTCCCTTCTTGACCAGGTCCCCCCCCCCCTTGTGAAAGTGATCTTAATTACCTGGTTCAATAAAGGTTAGATACAAAATAAATAGGTTTGAACCCAGACTAGGGCTGGGAAATTAATGGGAAATCTTTAGGGAAGACAACAGCGAACAAAAAGAAGTCAAATGTAAACACTGCAGAAAAACTGTTTGCAAGAAATGCAAGTTATTTATTTTCTTCTGTTTTAGACTAAAATGTGTCATTTTCATTTCGGTTTCAATAAATACCCACAAAATAGTTAATCAGATATGCACTCTATCTTTAGAAAACATATCCCAGCTTTAATAGTTGAGCATATTTAAAGTAGAGACCATGTCAGTGAACTATGAGGGCAAAAAACAAAAACAAAATAATCGTTCATTCATTTTAATCGAGTCAAAATGTTCGATAAATCGTGATGCTGATCTGAGCTCGTATTGCCCAGCCCTACCTCAGACCTATAACCAAACTCTCAGCAAATGTAGCAGGTCAGACGTTAGTCCACACCAGGTTGACTGTAGATAATAATCACACTAAATATCTTTAATTTAAGTGTTTTGTTTCAGAAAGAAGTCTTCTGAGTACCTTTGCATTGTTGCATCAGAGCAAAATTCACTTTATCTTTCGCCATATTCAAAGCACAACACACACATCAGTGGCCCCCTGATGTTTTTAACACCATCATAAACTAGCTAACAGACTTTATATTCATGGTTATTACCAGGTGCTTTTGTCTTAAGCTGCTATTAGTTTTATTCATGTGATTAAACCCGTAACTGGACGATCACTTAGCAACTCTAAATCAAAAAGCGCGCTCGAAAAGGTCGAGGTTTTTATTTTTTTCCCCTCACATGACTTGCATGAGCTTGATCCTGCCTGCAGTCATGTTTACTATGTATTCATGTCAACCCACCAACAACAAGTAAACACTTTAAAGCAAATAAATATATATATTTATATATACCTGAGACCCCAGGCCTACTATAGCGTCCATATAGGCTCCGCTGCTCCATATTTCACAGAGGGGAGTGCACGTTGCATCAGTTAGTCTATACGCTGTTATCATTAGGCCCATGACTCTGACACCAGCTGTTGTACACAGTGCACTACTGAGTAAACACACGTAGCATACCACTATCGTGACCAAGTAAGGCAGACTGCCTAATCATTTTATGGTGGCTGCTCTATGGCTGCCTGTCCTAAATAGGGATTTACATAGAGCACAGTGAGCTCTCTAACACTCTGTGTGCACTATCTACTATCATCACATAGATGTTTGCTGTGTGTGTGTGTGTGTGTGTGTGTGTGTGTGTGTGTGTGTGTGTGTGTGTGTGTGTGTGTGTGTGTGTGTGTGTGTGTGTGTGTGCCTTGAGACAGGCGGCACTCATCTCTGAAAATGGATTTCTCTCCAGACGATATGATGTAGCAGATATTAAAAGGAGCTGAATGAACGCGAGCCTTCACAGTCACAAACAGGAAGGCAGCGAAAGGGAAAAGAGACAGGCAGACAGAGAGAAGGAGTCTGGTGGGAGGAAGGATGTAGAAACAGGGACAGACACGCAGACACACAAACTGACAGACAAGTCACTGACAAGTAGACGTGCCTCGTGGTGTTTGATAGACATCAATCCAGAACATCTTGACAGATGGAGTGAGAAATAAAATGAAAAAAATAACAGATCGTATAGGGAGTGTTTCATTCTCCCCCTCTTCTACACTTGTTGTTAACATCTCTCTGGCACTCTCAGCTGTGAGGAGACTCTTGTGTTGGAAGAAATGAGGCAGAGCACACAGCAGCGAGGACCTGAGGCAAGTCCCGCGCGTATAAGCCACACAGCAAACAAACCAGTTAAATGACACCAGACCCCGGTTCAACAAGTCAGCAAAAGCAATCTTTTACTTTCTAAATGGAGGCAGAACTTTGAAGGAGTCCGGTGTGGAATCAGCGGTTATTCTCGTTGACATTGGCGCGGTTGAAAGATATAACAAATGACTCTAGTGTGAAAAAAATAATAATTTGGAACATCACTGCTTTTTCTGGATGACTGCAGGGCGAAATGAAGATAAAGACTTAAGTGGAAGCATGTGAAAGAAAGTGAGAAATGTGAGGGAGAAATCAATATCTGAGAGAGAGAATGCAGGCAGGGGACAAGAATGAAATTGTAATAGTAGCGAAGACAGAGAGGGAGGAATAAAGTAACGGGAAGTTAGGTAATGGTCTTCCACAGGAAATGGAGTTTGTAGGGGCGGATTGACTCCGCTTTGAAATACATAGATAAAGGTCGCCAGAGAGAGAGAGAGAGAGAGAGAGAGAGAGAAAGGGAGGGTTTCAGTATGCGTGCAAAGAGGAATTCCCCCGCCTCTACTGCCCTGGCCAAGAAGAAGTAGTGTGTGAGAGGAGTGTATGCAGAAAGGCTTGTCTGGGCAAATTGCAAAATGCCTCTCATTATTTCCATACTGTGTTGTAGGGATACATTCTGTTTACCCTACAATATGGCCTCGTGTTTTCAATATGTACCTGGTATGGATGCGGGCCTTGTGTTATGTGAGTAGATCATGTTATGTAATGAATTAATGTGTAATGAATTCGTAGATGAGTCATTTTTGTTACTACTCCAGTACTATGGTGCATCATTTAGCAGGGAATACCTTTCTTAAAATCAATGTTTAAATGTTTTATTCTTGTTTTTTTGTGAAACCAAGTCTTAATTTTGAGTGCTTTTGTTTTGAATTACTTTGTCATTTCAGTTTGTTTTTTTTGCTGTTGATACATTTTTAATTTCTTAATTCAGCAACTTCTTTTTTTAAGCTGAACAGTCGGTAGGTATCTTGCATGGTGAATAGGCTTTGTGCATGTCTGAATGTGTTTTCCACATGAGTAACCCACACTCCCTGATCCCTTTCTTCCAGAGTCTCTGGAATAAGGTGGGCAAGTGCCGGAGTCGCGCAAAGAAGACGAGAAAGGATGAGGGAGAGAGGCCCCGGCAGAGGAGGAAAATAGAGAGGAAAGAAGGGGGAAACGAAAGAAACAAACAAGGCAAAGCAAACGAGGAACGCCAAAGAGAATCTCTGGGATAAATAAATAAAAAAGACTTGTTTGGATAAAAAAGCAGGCTAGATGAAAAGATGAAGCCGATAAAAAAACAGGGCCGACGCTCTCCTCCTTCAACTCGGGCAAAAGGGGGGAAGCGTCGAGGAGCGGGGGATGCCCCAGAAGGAGGGGAGAAGAGGGACTCGGATGAGAACCGAGACAGAAGCAGATCCCCTCCAGACAGAGCACCCTCTTCTTCATATTCGTCTAACTCACACTCAGAATCCTCACAGGTAGACCCAATCAGAGCCCGTGGCCCTTCAGAGGAGGAGGCGCTCCACAGAGAAGGGTTGTCGGAGTCAACGGTGTCGCTCGCGATGGATTCTGGGAAATTGTTGTCATCCTCGGATGATAGATCAGGGAGGTCAGCTGTGAGCGGTAGCAGCCACAGTGACAGTGGTGGTAGCAGCAACAGTAGTACGCCGAGCGCCAACAACAGCCCGAACCCAGCGCTCAGCCGGAAAACAGCCACGTTTAAGGCTCGAGTTCCCAAGAAGAAGTATACCTCTGAACACTGCTCGTCTACTACTGGTAACCATAGCAACCCTTCCTCTAGCACACCCCCTCCACTTCCTCTCGGTGGTGGGGTCATCAACCACGGGTTAACGGGTTCAGGAAGTGACATCTGTGTCTCACACCCTGATGGCAACAGTCAGAGTAGGACCATGATGGACGACTTCCACAGCAGGACTACTGGCAGGGAGGGGAATCTGAAAAGTTCCCCAGGACCCCCTCCTCTGTCACTAGTGGGGGAGAGGGAAAGGCCTGGAAGAGGTGAAGGAGTCAGAGATGCAGAGCGGGTGTCGCCCAGCCCCCTGCCCCGCTGCTCCTCAACAGACACTGCCAGCGAGCACTCAGCTGACCTAGAAGTAGTCGGCGACTCACACGCCGTCATACATGCACCCACCAGCCTCCCTGATGCGCTGTCTGATGCTCTCGCCAAAGGGCTGAAGAATCAGCGTGTCCTTGCTCGCCAGATGAGGAGGAGTGACGAGGAGGAAGAAGGTGAAAGGAGTAACGGAGGGGTGAGTTCGGACTTGGTGTTTCGGGCTGGGGTAGTCCGCAAGGTCAGCGGTGAATTTGGAAGTTTGGAGGTGCAACTGAATGGGGAGAAGACACTGTGCTGTTATCCATATCGACATGACAGTCCTCCAGGGGTGGTGGACATTATCCTAGATGCCTCGCCACCTGGAGTCCATCCGATACCCATTGGAACCCGTGTCTGTGTACCATTTGGCAATGAAGAGGGCAGTGAGGGCCAGTGGCAGTGGTACAGAGAAGGTGTGGTGACGCAGGTGGACACACACCCTGCAGTGGCCAACCGCTATCGTGTCCTTTTGTCCGAGGAAAGATCTCTATCTGTGGACGAGGAAGAGATTTGCAGAGGGACAGCTGGTGCTACCCAGGCAGTTTGGGTCTCCCGACAAACACTCAGGCTTCTGGTGCCACCTTGGGACCTGGATTTGCCATCTGGAGCGGGTCGAGATAGAGAAGAAGGGGTCAGGGACAAAGAAAGGGAGCGGGAAGACAGGGAAGAGATAGATGTGGAGAGGGAGGTGTGCCGTTTGAGCCAAGCGATGACACCTAGTGTAGGGTCAGTATTGGGGAGAGGAATACCTTACCCAGGCATGGTGTCTGTTTCCTCTTCATCTGGCCACAACATCACCTCCCCTGTAACCCCAGCGTCAGTCCTTAGCCTGGCTCCGGGGCGAGAGTGGGAAGGGGAGAGGGACCTCCAAAGAAAACAGGATAGAGATAGGGAAAGAGAGCGAGAAAGGGAGAACAGTGTAAAGCAGCAACAGCAGCACCAACATCAGCAACACCACCCATACATGCCACTCACCCCTGAAGAAGACATGGAGGTGTCCCACTTTAACATGGTCCCAATGGGGGCAATCATACCTGGGGCCAAACCAATGGCAGTTCCCCAACACCGCCACATTGTATCTAAGCCCCCACCTGGCTACCTCAATCCCCACATGTCCGTGGTGCGGGGCATCGGGATACCCCCTGCACACCTGGCCTTGAACCCCCATCCCCCTCCTTCACCTGTCCTGTTAGGCCTTGATCCAGCAGCAGTTGCAGCAGCTGGTGCTGTCATCACCAACCCCCAGCTCCCTCCTCTCCCTCCCATCTCCTCCTCCACCCCATCCTCCTCCAGAGTAGAGAAGGCCTCAGGAGGAGGGTCTTCCAGTGGAGGAGCAGGCGGTGGATCAGGATCAGGTTCGAACTCGTCCTCCTCATCACGCTCCCGCACCCCACTGACGGCTGCCCAGCAAAAGTACAAGAAGGGAGATGTGGTGTGCACGCCAACGGGCATCCGTAAGAAGTTCAATGGGAAGCAGTGGAGGAGGCTGTGTTCCAGAGAGGGCTGCTCTAAAGAGTCCCAGCGCCGAGGATACTGCTCCAGACACCTCTCAATGAGGACCAAGGAGATGGAAGCCAGTGGTGGCAGCCGGGATCGTGGAGGAGCCAGCAGCACAGGGACCCTGACGCCATCTGACCTTCGTCTAAGTGGCGGGAGGGCCAGCTCAGAGTTTGACTGGGATGAGACGTCTCGGGAAAGTAGCGAGGCCAGCAGTCGTGGAGGTGACTCCCGTCCTCGCTTGGTCCTTCCCTCTCTGCTCCCCCAGGACCTCTCTCGTTTTGACTTTGATGAGTGTGAGGCAGCAACCATGCTGGTGTCCCTGGGTGGTTCCCGTTCAGGCACTCCATCGTTCTCGCCTATCTCCAACCAGTCGCCCTTTTCCCCAACCCCATCACCCTCGCCCTCTCCACACTTTGGCTTTCGTCCTGCCAATTTCAGTCCAATTACTGCTCCTTCACTTACCCCCCGGCGTCCTCGTCATCTAAGTGGCACTAAGATGGGCACACCAGGGGTTGAGCGAGAGCGCCATCTCTCTGGAATTTTGCCCACTTTTCAGACCAACCTGACTTTCACAGTCCCGATGAGCCCCAGCAAAAGGAAGCTCGACTCCCACCCTCCTCCTCCACTGCCTGCAGTCCATGACTACCAGACCAAACCTGAGCAGCATCAACTAATAGGCATAGGGGGAGCTATGGTTGGAGAAACAACCATGGGCCACTGTCCTGCAGCTTTCAGAGTCCTCTCCCCCCAGAGTCAGCCCACAACTCCTTCCTCACTTTCCTTCCCCCGGCCTCGAAGTGCCACCAGCAGGCCACCATCCTCTACTGCCTCCACACCCCCACCCATGCTGGTCTCTCCCACTCCTCCTTCCCCACTGCCCCAGGAACCTTCTCCTCGTCGTATTGTGCCCCTCCGTGATTCACCAGTTATTGTCCGCAACCCAGATGTACCCCTACCTAAGTTCTCTGATGGCCCACTAGGAAGGAGAGAAAGAAGCCGGTCCAGAGAGCACAGCCAGCCCCAACACGCAGCTCCCCCCGGCCTGCAGGTCCCTGTTCCAATCAATGGGGCTACTACCAACGGTGCTGTTCTCCTGCGCAACCCCACATCCACACTTGTCCTGGTCACCTCCAGTTCGGTAAGAAAGTCACAATTATTTGGGGCATGCTTTTTAAACCTTATCCAAATTTATGGAATCTGCTTGAATGAATCTAATACTTGCAACACAAAAATATGAAGTTTTTGTCAAATTTGATCTATGCTTATTTCTCTTTTTTATTGTAAAATGGGCTCTTTATAGCCTCAAGAAAGTTATAAGTGACCGATTAACTCCACTTTTAAATGAAAATAAATCAAGAAGTACTCCAGTTGAAACTTTGAGTATCAAATAAAATCTGTGACCCTTGAAGTTGGTCCTTGGAGTCACAGAGTCATGGCAGAAAATGCACCACAATGATCTTATAAACATCTGTCACAACTCGAGTTAGTGTGAAATTAAAGCTCTGTTAGTAGCTTTATTTTTTAAAGAATCCTTTGAGTGGACAAACATACCGAAGAAAGGATCAACAGCAATGAAGTGGTGTATGCGGCTGATTTGTTTTATCTGCTAACTTTCAGTATTTAAAAACAAAAAGTTTAGTTTTGGGTTGAGTATAATTTTGAAAGAAAGAACATTTCTGTTATTATTATTTTGCTTTGGGTCAATCCTCTATGCTAATACAATATCTTTCTGATGTTCCCTTCAGTCCCTGACTCCAGCTTCAGTGGGTAACCCTGCCCTGTCCAGCCCCTCCAGCATCGGGTTAATGCCCACTTCATTGGGCTCAGTCCTATCCTCCTCTGGATCCGGGGGCAGAGAGAGAGAGAGGAAACCTGAGGGACACCAGGACGCCTCTGGAGGGGCCCTACCACAGCCGGTAGCCTGTCACCCTACCCCGACTGCCCTTCTGCCGCTCATACTGCCAGCTGAGTCGCCTCACCCTGCTCCACGCAAGCAAATCATCATGGGACGCCCAGGAACTGGTAAGGAATGATCGGAGGGGGGAAATGGAAAACATAATGGCGCTGTGGCTTTGTTCACGTCAGATACAAAAGTCTGCCGAGCTACACTTTCAATGTACAGTGGGAAGGTATCGTCTGGAGCTAATGTACTCTAACTTAGTACTTCTTGTTTTCATTATCTCTCGAGGGTTACAGGAGTGTCGTCTAAGTGCTCTGGCTATGACTCATGTACACATTACTATTGTTTGCTTGCACTGTAAGAAAGTAAGAGGAGATATTTTTACCGCCTTGATTTGCCTTTTTAGGCTCTTTCAGTTCCTAGTGAAAATGTGTTATGTGGCTACAACATTTAAGATGAGTTAAATTTTGATTTTTTGGTCAAGATTATGTTTTGTATCAATAGCACACGGTGAACACTTGCTTTATCAGGTGGTCCTTAAACTTCCTCACAATAAAGCAGGAAAATAATATCATTAATGCACAATATTAAAAAAAAGAAAAGCATCAATCACATACATTATAGATACCGTTTTTGTAAATGTATACATTCATTTTTGACCGACACTTGAGTATCACACATATCCGGTCCTGGTAGATGGTTTATTTCTTATTTTGGTTATGGTCATTGTGATTTATAGTTCTCTGAAATTCAAGCTGTATTCACTCCATAAGATAAGAAGGAGTAAAGTGTTGTGTGCTGGAGTTTGAAGGGGGTGACGTTTCTTGTAAACCCGGCTTTAAAGAGTATATTTTGGCAAAAAGCTGTTGTGAAAGTATTTTGTCAGCTTCCTGAGAACACAGTTGGATATAAGAAGATTGGCCGCCGAGCAACGGAGGTGTTGGGTTAATCATATACTGTATGCTTGTTTCCATGCCAACCTTATAAAATTACAGCCAAAACTCTGAAATGTTACTTTGAATATATGAATAAGGAAGTTTTTGTTCCTACTTAAAATGCACAACATTTTCACGGTGTTTCATTTTAACATCACACTTTCTCAAACTGCGAACTGAAAGTGTGATAAATGTACAGGAATGCGTCTCAGGGCACACAGATATTGGTAATTTACAGCTTTTTTCAGTTTCATAGTTGATAACGACTAATTGATATGAGAAAAGTCATACTGACAGAGAAGGTCAAACTGTGTGTTTTCTAATGATATGTATGTTTCGATTTGCGTGGCAGGGACGACAGAAGAAGTTTAAAGCCATTAACACAAGAGTCAAAAGGGAAAAGTTCTCGCTTTTAGTATTTGGTATTTCCTAACTCTTCTCTGATTAATAATTTCTTGACTTGGATGAAGGGGTAAAGATGAAACCTTCATCCTCTGAGGCGTGAAAATCAGAAAAGGTTTGACATATCAGCGGCTCAGGTGGACTCCCAGACCTGCTGCAGTGTGTGTAGCGTCAAAGTTGTTGAGTGTGCGTGTGCAGGGGGGTGTCACCTATTTTATGTGTGGGCATGTGTGTGTTAGAGAGAGATAAGGGGTGTTTCACAGAAACTTATGAGGATATTGACATGTCTAGACATGCAGGACTGAGAGCTGGAGTTCAACAAGGACATCCACACCTCCTCCTCCTCCTCCTCCTCCTCCTCCTCCTCCTCCTCCTCCTCCTCCTCCAGCAGCGTACACACACTCAAACTCTCATGCACGCTCATCTCGATGTTCCAGACAATCAACAACCTCAGACAGGGCATCAAGGGCAGGTCCAGCGTGATGTGAATGTGTTTCATCACTCTCAGCAGTAAAAGGAGTAATTGTATTGCTGGCGTGTTGTCATGGATACACTGTTTCCAACGGTAGAATTAGCGCAGTAAAGCGTTGAGCCCTGAGCTGATTACCGAAGCGCGCTTTTATGTCTCTCTCCCTCTCACATCCCTCGCACTGCTGCTAACGGCCACCTGCCTCTGTAGCGTAACGTTTCCTCCGCCATACATTTTTAAAAACACCTAGAGCCACAGTGGGCCCAGAAACAAACACAGGCAGCAGGCAGCGGAGGCCCCACGGCTGAGATCTCTCCTATATATAGCCCAGCTCAAGTGCAGCTGCATTAGCATCACAAGTTTCATTACTGCTCTCTTTGAGTACATCTGCAGCCTTCGGTGGAGAACAGATAAGAGCTCTGATGGAGCTTGGTCCCATCTTGTTACGCCGCTCAAGAACTTTATTATTGCTGTTGCACCCACAGGAGAAATTATTTGCGACCTTCTCCCGCAGTAGTAAGGTGTAGTCCTGTCTGTCATTGTTCAGGTGATTTTAGTAGCATAGATAGAAGCATGCTGTCCCTTCGTCTGCATCACTGTGCCCTCTCGCTAAAAGGAAACAGATAAAGACAGATAAATGTCTAAGCAGTGTAATCTGTCTCTGATATTTTTCACAACACACCACTGTCAGTGCTTCCTGCAATATTCATGCCGTGACTCTCAGGGTGTCAGCAGGTCCTCTGAAAGTTTAAAGAGTCTAAAGGCAGATTGATTTAGCACCTAAAAGGATTTGAGGTTTGTGTTATTCTATATTTTTCTCACCATCAAAAAAATCTTAAAAACAGCCAAAAAAACAATTGAGTGCTAGTCTGACTCTCAGTTCAAATAAAATAGATAGATACATGGTTAATGGACTTGAGCTTGTGCAGTGCTTTGACTGCTCAAAGCGCTTTTACACTGCATGACAAAGTGTCTTAACCAAGGACACATTGGAATTGTGGCTGCAGGAGCTGGGGATCGAGACCTCGACCTTTCGGTTGAGAGACGACAACTCTACCACTGAGCCACAGCCGCCCCCGATAGATTCATACACTGAGTCGTGTCAGGAGTCGCTCTGGCAGAGTAGCGCCCTCATTAAGACAGTTTCCCAGTTCATTGTACTCCACCTTAAATCCATCTGCCCCATCTGAAGCACATAAAAAAAAACATTTTTAACTGTACAAAGTCAAATCTTAACAAACGGCAGTGTAGCTTTAAGAAAAGGTTTAGCGGTGGTGAATATCGCATTTGTTGGGGGATATTTTTAGCAGTGCTTTAATCCACATGTGGATGAGTGAAGAAGTAGGTTTGTGTTGGTTTAACGTGGAACAGCGCCCGTGTTTCAGTGCAACACAATGATGTGAACAACTGATGTGTTTTTCATATTTAATATACAACAATGTAGCTTTTCATCGTCGAGTGATAAGAGTAAACCGGCGACCTAAATGGTTAGTTTTGTTTTGTTTGTTTTCTTATCATATTATTTCCTGAACAGTGCTTCATGGTTGAGATAGAGTTGGAAAGTAAGGCGAGCCAAATATTAAGTTTGCATAGTTCAACCACAACTGTGCAACTGTGGGTGGAAACTGTGCAGAAAGTTGATTATGCATCTCCACTGTGTGACATTCTGACTCTCATGACTCTTCGCCTTCACAGTGGTGCGTTACAGGGTTAAAACCGTTTTTGTCTGTTCAGCATTTCCTATTGGTTTCCTTCTATGTAATAGCCTAGGAAATTTGGAGACAACCAATAAAGAATAGCTGCTGTCTGATAAATTAATAAAACATAAATCCCAGATAGCAATCTGCATTAAATCTGCCAGTTTTGGTCGGGCCATACGACTGATGTGTCCTTGAGCTGGTAGAATTAGATTTTTCAGATTTTGCAGCACTTCCGTTCCTTTGTGCAGTTTACTGTCTGGCCAAAATTTGAAACCAGTTTGAGGTTCAGATCACACCCACTCAACCCAAGTTACATAGTGCAAGAAGATGCATTCAGGGCCCAGATTGGACAGAAAAGTCAACATCAAAGTCAGTTTAACGTAAACATTATTTTGGAGGTTAAATAGTCAAAGGTGCACTCTGGAGTTTTGGTAGAGAAATGTGAAAGTTGGAGAAGTGTACAGATTCTGTGGTATATGTTCATAACTCTATACACAAACTGTCCTCAGAGGAGAATTTGATCCCTGGAAGACAGTTTGAAGATAAAATCCCACGCGAGAAGTTATGGTGGTGGGTCCACAGAAGTGAAACTGTAACTCTCCTGGTGGCTTTAAGCTCCAAAAACAGTGGTCAAGGAAGGGACCAATTTTTGTCCTTTGAATAAAGTTTGTGTACTCAGTTCAGAAAATGCAGCATAGAATTGTTTCACTTCTCCAACTTTCAAATTTCACCACCAAATCTACATATTCTACCTTCTAAATCTACCTTCTTAAAACATACTTTTACAGACTTGCTTTTATGTGATGTTGTCTTCTTAATGTCTTCTCTTACTGGTTTTACTATTTTTATCTTCTTTTACTTCTTACTGTCCTTTTATTTATGGTCTTATCTCGTATTTATGCTCATATCTTAATCTCCTCTTGTGTTTTAACTTGGTAATTTCTTGTCTTACTTACTTTGTCTATTTATGTTTCATATTTATATTTACTATTTACTATTTATTTTTATTAATATTATAGTTTTGGGTTTTTTGATCCTTTAACCACTTGTTTTTATTTCTTTTACTGCTCTTACCTTCTTATTGCTTTTTATTTGCTTTTATCTTTTAGTTTCTTACATCTTTTTAAATCTTTGGTCCTCTTGGTCTCAGCTCGTGTTGTTGGGTTCTTGTGTTGCCTGGATTCTTATGATGGTTCTTATGATGGTTCTTGTGATGGTCGGGTTATATATGTCTGGTTGTGTATCGTGCACTTTGGGTTCTTTTCTGTTGAATTGTATTTAATTATTCTTAGTATTTTGCATCTGTTATAGTCTTACTGTTGTTAATGTTCTTCTGTGTTTGGTTTAGTTTGCTTTGTTCTTGCTGTTTGTCAAAGCACTTTGTAAACCTGTGTTTTTAAAAGGTGCTCTATAAATAAAGTTATTATTATTATTATTATATAGTGCACCTTTAAAACAATCTTTATAGAAATATTTACAATAGAAAGAGCTACTGCTGAATATCACATATCTTACTATTTCTGGTCTTTGCCACCTGCAGAAGATGGCATGGGAGCATTTGAAGAAGCCTCACTTCCCCAGTTGCAGTTCCTCATGCAAACAGAAGCACTGTCTGCCAGTTTTTAGTACGGAGATCAAAGGTCAGAGCGTAGTGATAACTGTCATGTATACAATGATCAGCACTCCTAAGAGAACATGTTGAACTCTGTGTGAAACCAACAGCAGTATCATTGTATGTACATCCTGATTCATATCTAGCTCAGCGGTATCAGGATCTCCATTTTAGATGAGCCAAAGCCAGTGATTGGTTAGCTATTTATAGATCACTTTAATGCTGTGCTATAAAATTATAAATGGAAACAAACTGGGCATTGCAGTGCTGCAGCAGAGTTCACAGCCAGTTCATTTCCACCAGGCTAGACCATGAATGTGGAATACCAAAGTAGAGGAGTGGAGACTGAAACTGTTTTTCTCCATTGAAATCCAAAAATCTAAATCTCAATATCAGACCAAGCCCATCAAGTTATGTCAGTGTTTACATATAGAGCAGGACTAGATTGCACTCTTTGCATTTTTTTTTTACATAGACTTAATTGAGTCCTTGGAGTACAAGTACTTGGAAAATCAGAAAGGAGAGACTTACAGTTGCCAGGCAGAAAACTCAATCCTAACCAGAGTCACTGGTGGAAAGCCGTGTGCCGCAACCAACACAGTCAAGAGAGAGATAGTTAGTAACAGTAGCAACTATGATAATAATAGAGACCAATAACAGCGGTGGAAGTCTGCGCTATCTTTCTACACAAAACTGTGAGGTGAGGGAGCCCAAAAGGTCGAGGGAAGATACAGTGCAGAGTAGTAACGTGCTTAAATGTGCCGTTCATGAATGTATGCATGAACGATGAAGAGAGAGGAGAAGAGAGGAACTTGATGTATCTACTCGCCAAGCACTTTAAGACTATACCTGTATCACCAGTGGGTTCATTCAAGGTGAGCCTAGCCAACATGTTTACAACCTGAAAAACAGAATACAAATAGGTCTGATTAGCTCATGTCTTGATTGGCACACACTGAACGGAGGGTGATTTTTGTTATTCACAATGAGGCATGTAGCTGACCTGATTGACAGGTGGGTGCATTGTAACGGTTTGTCAGGAGGCTTAAAACCCCGCCTTGGCTCCAGCTCTCAGCCTGTCGTTAGGTTGACTGAAAGTTAGCTTTCAGTCCTTTAAGATACAGTCTGTGGTTTGTCCTTACAGCATGCTTAGAGGGTAGTAAACTGATTGGTTTGTATGATTATTCATTTATAAGTATAATTGGGTATCATCAGCATAATAAGAGAACAAATATGGAATATCTCCTGGTAATTTTACCTAAAGGAAGAACATTTAAGTGGAGTAGAATTAGTCCAATCACTAACCCTAACCCTTGGATTGAAACTAGCTTTATGTATTTCCTTTAATGCCAGTTACGTGCTCTGTATCTGTAACAGGATGTGATGGTCTTTATGGCCAACGGCTCCTCTAAGATCTAACAGGAAGTAAATACAGCTTGATTGCATTAAAGGTTGCCGTTGTAATAATGGTTGTGTTATTAGTATCTGCAGTAGTGAAGATGTTTTATGTACAGTTAAAGTTACGATTATTGGTTTCATTGGTATCAAACATGGTGATATGAACATGATGTGTTATCAGTGATCAAAATGATTGATTGTAAGGGAAACTAAAGTCTGCTCAGGAGTTTTGTTTTCACACATACACGCTGTTCTGTGAAAACCACACGGCTCCAAAATGTCAATTATTCACCAGCCATGAAAATGAAACCTGTTTTCTGTTTTGACAATTTTTGGGTAACACAACATTTTTTAAAGATTAATTCATCTAACAAATTACAAGTATCTTCCTGACATATAATTATTCAGTTAACGGAACCAGGCTGTAGCGTGTGCAGCTTTGTTGTGCTAATATTTTGGCTCAGCTTTGCTTTGGGCTCGGTGCCAAAATGGCTTCAAGTACAATGCTAATCAGATGATATTTAGCAGGTATGATTTCAACCATTATCACCTTGACTTGACAATGGCTGGTTAAAAAGTCAAGGTGTAACAAAAGTCACAAGAATCCACGCTCTACGATCAATAATGTCTTTGCAATTTCTCAAAGCAATCTTTAAAATACTTCTTGAGATGTATCAGTCAGGATAAAAGTGTTGGGCCGACATTGGAAGTAAAATCACCAAATTTGGAACAACATGGTTTTCATTGGGCAGCATTTTACTGAAGCTTTGTCTGATCCAAAAAAGAGTTACCAGAGTTTTGTGTCCTTGTAAGCATTTGTGATCTCAAACTGTGAGATAACACCTTTAACAGTATTGTGCTATAAGACTGGGAATCTTTGGGTGTCTCACAATTCAATCGATTTTTATTCTTAGGGTCGGGATTTTTGATTGAAAATTATTCTGGATGCATGGATTCAAAGTCTATTTTTGAACTAGTATATACCTTAGGATCTACTCCAGTCATCTGTGAGACTGGCTGAATTTCTTGTTGCTCCGTTTGTCATTCTACTGAGTTAAAGTGCTAGCCTTAGCAGGGAGTGACTCAATTTTTGGAAGTTATGAATCTATTTAAAATCTCAGAAGATAAGAATCTCGATTTTTACATAAAACCATTTTTTCCCACCTCTATTGTGATATTGCTTGTTGGCATAAGACACGTCTCTTTAATGTACTCCACAGCAGCGTGGCTGCAGTCTAGACGGTGGGTAGTCTGGAGTCTGGAATCTCTGTGGATAAAATAACAGGTTCCCTCATCCCATCTCACACCACATGACCCCTCAGCTCTCATTATCCTGAGGGATGGTCTCTGTGCGTGTGTTGGAGATGGGGGCAGAGTAAGTGACTGAATACACAACTCCATTCATGGCCTTCAGTCTCAGGCAGTTTATATGAAAAGTGTAGTTTTTAGTAACACTTTGGCTCATCGCTGGCTGATGATCACGTGGGATTTCACATGCTGCCAGAGGGCAGATCGCTACCTTCTGTCCGCAGACCACGACACTGAAGTGGATAAACATAATGACATTTTTAATATTCCGTTTTTCTCTCTCTCTTCTCTCTGCCTTCGTGTTCCCACAGTTTGGACCAACGTGGAGCCTCGGTCGGTGCCAGTGTTTCCTTGGCATTCGCTCGTCCCTTTCCTGGAGCCCAGCCAATCAGGAGCGGCTGCCCAGCCTGCTGATGGCCAACAGCTTGTCAATCAGAGCAAAGGTAGGGAATGACCCCGCTCGTTTGCTCTGGACATGTCATCATGACCTTTTACTTGAGCAAGGGACACAGACAGCTTGTTTCACAATTTCACAGCTTGTATACAAATATACATATATATGTGACTGTATATAATAAACAAGTATTTCCCACAATAATCAGAAAAGGAAACCCTTTGTCGGGCTGTGTTTCACAAATAAACTCTGCCAAAACACTCCAGTACACAGCCAGTACAAATGGGTGGACATGCCTGCAGCCAAGTCTGTGTTTCCCAAAACAGTTGCGACTGAATTGCAAATCAGCACAGTTGGTGTTCACACCAATGTAGTTCCAGTAACATTGTTAATAACAATATTTATTGGCTGGAGTACTCAAATTTATTCAGAGACCAATTCTGACCGGATGGGGATGGTCAATCGTCTTAGTGACGACTCCAGGACTGTGTTTTATTCTCCACAGAGTTTCATGAGGCTTTATTCAAGGGCCTTTAAGTTATCTGTCTTTTCTGTGTGTTCCAAAACTAGAATTATTGATTCATTGTTTGGTTGATGTAATGCAAGCACACACTGCTTCACATTTCTCAGAATCCAAGGTCACAATCTTCTAACTCTTGAACTTTCTGATTACCAATCTGTGTTTGTTTTTGTTACTGTTGCGTTTGATTTCGGTGTCGCTTGTGTATAAGTTGTTGAGTTTTAAGTTTTAAAAGCCCGTCTGGGGACGGGCAGTTCAAGTCAGCTCCAGCCTCAAGTGCTGTTGAGGTGCTGTCCTTTTTTGCCCGACTGATTATTCAGCCGGCTGATAATATCGGCCGATATTTAGCATATCAAGTGACCATCAGTAAAATCATCATATTACTAGATTTATTCACCAGTCAAATAGCATTTTATTCTCTCTCCAGAGTGTCGAGCGATGATGCACGTACATGCACAGTTACTTTTCAGTTGAGTGACCATCTTCTCTTCATTAAATTTATTTAATAAGCATTTGATAACTGCATTTGAGGGATTAACCCAATTAATGTGTATTCCTATCTCTATATCTAAAGATCGAAGCTAGATCTAAGGAAGATATCGGCTGATAATCAGAATCAGAATCAGAATTTGACTTGGTGTATTGGTGCTAAACAATTAACAAGGAAATAAAGCAGAACTAGCAACAATTTAAATAATACAGTATAAGAAGCTCGGTAGAAGCTCGGTAAATCGGTATGAAATCCAAAAATCCCATATCGGTCGGGCCGTAGTCTCTTTACGATTAAAAATTAAATCAATAAATACATTTTTTCTCAAATAGCTGCATAGCTGGCAACCGATTGTTAGCTAATCGAAAACTGACAAATTATCTCAGTTTTGAACAGTTGTAAACACAAGTTTGAGGGGATCTCCTTCATGGTTGTGTCTCATTACCAGAAGAACACAGAGTTTAGAATAACTCTTAACGGACCATTGTGAAACAATGAATAGATTCCAGCTGTGTAAAATATATAAAAGGCCCTAGAGCCAGTGTTTGGTTTACCCTGCAGAGCTGAATGCAAATCAAGTGCTACCGATAGATCCCAAAATGTTTTACACTCGACCTTTCATTTGGGTGATTTGCTTTAAGAAATCATCACTCCTGATGAAGCCTAGTCCGTACAAATGCTGTGAAAGGAAACAAGTTGTTAACAAGTGCAGAATCAAATTAACACAGTGTACAGAATATTTGATAATTACAGGATTTAATTATTTCTGTTATATTCGTCAGATGTATTGAACCCTTGAGGGAACATTTTCTTTCTTTATGTGTGAGTAGTCTTCTGCTCAGTCTCACATTTCTCTTACTACTGCAGCAGATTATCACATAACGTAGTCGCAGATTCTCACACCTCCCACTGTCAGTTGGCCAGAATAGAGCTTTCCATCAACAAGCTGCAAGCCCTGCGTTTACACATATGGCACTGTTGCTTTCACATAGCTTCTCTCTACCAGGCCTATGAATGTCTGACTTTTTTTTCAGAGCCTCGATGCGCTGTGGCCCTGGTGAGCGACGGGCGGACTGGTCCCCCAGACCTCGAGAGGGGATCTCCGTCGTGCCCTCCCCCGACCAATGACAATCCTCCTTCAGAGAGGGGCGGGGCTGACAGCGAAACAGAAAGTGATACAGATGACCCGTAAGTACAAAGAAGCCTCTAACCTCGTATCATCAAGGCCAGACCTGATAGTGTCGTTTTTTAAAAGTTATATCCAAACTGAATTATTTTAAAGTAAAGGTCACATTTTGAGTGCTCGGCCATGCTTCTGTTTGTCAAAGTGTAGCCGCAGCTACGGTTATCAAACTGAATCAAGAGAAGAAGAAGAGGGGCGAAGCTCAGAAAACAAAAGATTTGATTGATATTCAGGTGTAGAGCAGCGCTGTGGCATATTGACCACATTATTTAAAACGAGACCAGGCAGCCAGTCAGACCGAGAAAACAACCAGACAGACTCTGATCCAATTTAGGTCTTGTTTACATACAAGTGTGGTCGTTTTGTTTTCTGTGGAGTAGTATCCAAACTGTTTATTTTAAATTGTTAGAATCGTGTTCATTCACAAAGTATCAACGAGTTTGTTTTTTGGTAAATTATCATTTATTAAGATATATCCCTAAATTGAGCTAATTCTACTTCTCTCACCTTAAACATGATGTGTTTAGGGCTGAGAAATAAATCGATTTTGAGGTCCAGGAGTATTTGTAAAAATTTAAATCTAGATTTTCTCCTTAACTTCCTCCACTGCTCCACATCCTCCCCCCTTGATTGCTTCCTACAGAGACACACAACAACAACGTGGCTGCCAGCAGCATTAAAAAAGGGTTTGTTCCCAATAAAACAATCTGGTCAGTCGTTTGAAACTGGTTTGGTTTTGCAGTGTCAGACCTCGAAAAAAAAACAGAGTCCGCTGCAAAGATTGTTCAAAGGCTGTTTCAGCAGCTCGACCGATTTATCACAAACATCTCAAACAGAGGCCTGCAGCCGAGTGGGAGAACTGTGTCTCAATATAAGATCACGAGGCAGCTACAGAACACAAACACCTGCTGAAAAGCAGCTAACATTAGATAAATAATTTTGTTAGGTCTGACAAGAATGGGACTCTGTGAAAAGCTATTACTGATGCAGACACACTGAATATCACTAAAGATATGGTGCCCATATATACAGTGGAAAAACCTGCTCGGTTTGTCCACATGCCTAAAACTTTGGCCCCAGGTATGTGCTGCCCAGCCACAAGGATTTTGCTGAAGTTGCTCTCCCACATCTGTACTTTTGCTTTACCCGAATCCTGAATAGTGCACTTTTAGAGACACGTTTGAAAACACATGAAAAGGGAAATTCAGGATACTTCATTAATCTAAGAAGAGAAATTCAGTTTAATTTTGTTAGATTTTAATGTTAAAATAAATCAAAAATTGTTTTTGTCAATTGTCATTTGGGGAGAAAAGAAATTGTAAATCGAGTGTGGTGTGAAAAGGTCAGAGATTTTAATTTTCAGTCTATATCACCCAGCCCTAGATGTGTTTCCTCATTAACCCCTTCTCCACCTTTTCAAACAGTCCCCCTGTGGTCTAAATGAATCATCTGTGCTGTGCTTTGGTCAAAATATAACATGAATAATTCCTTGGGTTTCAAGAGGGTCCTACGCACTTGTCAGTGCTTCAGGCCCTAATAAAGCACCAGAGGAGGTTTGTGACCCTGTATAAACCAGCTCTCTCAGAACGCACCGTTTTGGTGTGTGTGTCTCTTTAAATGCAATGAGCCCCCCCTGAGTTTTCCTGGTAGATATCACTCCTCTGTAGCGACAATAAAAATGGAGGACCTGCGAAAAAGTTTTGCTCTAGGCTGGGGGTGGAGTCCATGGGTGGAGATACCAGGGAAGGGAGGTGATTTTTTTTTTTTACCAGAATCCCACTGTGACATCACAAGGAGAGCACATTTGAAACAGAGCATTTTTCTCTGTGTTGTAAGACTTATGCAGACCACAAACAAAGGACTGGATGGGTTTATTTCACATTTTGTGGGTCGGTAGACACTCAGGTTACCCAAATATATGTTCAGAAACACTGTCGAAGTGGATTCTTCAAAATATGTCCCCTTTAACACTCTGACACGACGCTCAGAACAGGTGTACTGAAATCCACCGGTGACAACAAAACTCAAAGAAAGCAAACAACAACAAACTACTTTAGTACCAACTGCATGAGTGTGTGTGTGTCTTTGGCAGGAGTTGTACAGTCTGTGCTTGCTCATTCCACTCAGACTCGGGCTGCGTCTCTGCGTCTGGCTGGGTTACTGCTCTTTCAGAGTGACTCAGACGGGCTGCGTGGCTGTCTGGCTGGTAGTGTGGTTTTGAATGTTTCAGGGTCACTGTGCTCTCAATGATGGCGGCTCTCTCTCTATAGAGCCGCCATCATTGACAACACAAAAGGAAAAGCTTCAGCCGGCTCTGAGTGGTGCAGTGGTTACACCTGTTATCCGGCTACATCTCAATGGAGAAACTAATGGCATTCATGGAAACAAAGTCGACATATTTAACAACCATTTATCAGCTCCTTTACTCTGCAATGTGCACAAGGAGAGTACAACTGCTGCAAGTTTGCAGACAGAACAATATAAATAAGTTTAAGGTAAAACAACTTTTTTCTTATTTCTATTTAATTGTATTGTTGTCCACTTTTTTATAAGCATACTTTTTCTATCTCCTTGATCTGTATTTTTTAGTTGTTCAGATATTAGGGCCGTCAGCTGTAACACCCACCCGTGTATCTCGATGAAATTAAGGCCCGACATGAATGCATTCTTTTTCTTTTCTTTTTTCATTGCATGCCATTTTGTCCCTTCTGGCACACTGTCTTCCTGCTCTTGCAGTAATGGAAAGACAGAACCGCTGCGCCTCTGAATGGCTCATTTCACAATAAAAGAATCTGTTGACAAGTCAGGAGGAATATGCATCTTTTTAACCATTACTTTTAGCAATTTTTATTTACTTTTAATCCATCGCAAGCTCCTTTTTTCATGGTTAAGTTGTAACTTTGATGAACCAGATGTTCCTTCAAAATAAAAGTATTTTTATTATGAAACAGGAAGTAAAGTATCCCTATCTTAAGGATGTAGTTAATATAAAATAAAAGCAAAATGAAAACTGTTTTAAAATGCAAAATAATTGGATATCAAACATGCGATTAATCACAATTAATCGTTATTACTTGTTTGACAGCTCTAATATTAAAACAGGTAACGTGCCTCTGATAGTGTAAGTGTCAAGTACTTAAGAGGAAGCCAGACAGTGCACCAATCAGATGCCACAGTTTAGTAGTGGACTTGTTCCTCGCTTTAAAAAATTGATGTCTGAGTTGCAACAATATAAATTTGAGCTGCAACAGGGAGCTGTACCAAGAGAACGTAAAGTTAGTTAGCAGTCATTGTTTTCAATCAAATAAAAAAAATATCTGGTGTTCTCCGAGTCTTTTCGGTTGGATCTTTGAGAAGTCTTAGTCTTTATTTACTGAGTCAGGTGATGCAACAATGATAACACTCATATGACCTCCATGCAGGATTATGCAGGAGAACGGCCCGCCAGATATCTGATTTTGGGGAAAGATACCGATTTAAGGGAGGGAAAGGGAGGCTAAAGTACTACAATGTAACTCAATTACGATGCTGTTTGACTGGTGATTAAATCTAGTCATATCAGTGCATATTGGAGATAAAATGAGCCGATGCCGACAGTCACATATTATGCTAACATCAGTTAATATTCACGTGTCTGACGTAACAGAAGTTTGTTACAGCGCTGTAATGTGGTCATGTTCAGAGAAGAACTCATTCATACGAGTGGCCTTCAATAAATCACCAGCAGTGTTCAATGAGCCTTCTGTCACCTATTATGTCCCATTATGGTTCCTGATGTTTCCAGTACAAAGAAATCTTTTACTCCACCCTCACATACACACACACACACACACACATTCAAGCGTGTGCCTTCAAACACACACATCTGACTGAACCCCAACCAAATTATTACATAACCTCAATCCCTGTGAGACCTTGTGATTGCTGCGGTACTCGTAAAGTTTTCCTTTTTTCAGCTACATTTCTGCCTTTGTCGAGACTGTGTGTTTCTCTTTTGTATTTTGTTGTCAGTAATAAAAGTGTCTCTGACAAACTACACCAGAGAAAATAAACAAGATGGAGACTGAGGTGACTATAAGAGAGCTAAACTGTCTCTCTGCCAGTTCACAGTTTAAAAAAAGATTTTCTCGTGGTCAAAACTGAGCTCACAGTTGAACGGTTTTCCTGCGAGATGCACTGACAAAACTGTAAACCACGTTTATTCACTTCTTCCTTTTTAGTCCAAAATTAGGAAACCTGTTGTCAGTGTGAAAACCACAATTTAAAACCACTATTAACTTGTTGAGTTTATCTTCCTGTATCAGTATCTGAAGCGTCTTGTTGTCTCTCCTGAGGTGTGGCGCTCTTTTTTTGAATGTATAACAGAGAGTTCTGTTAAAGGTTAGTAACATTTTAAAGCTGTTTCTCCAACCATGATAGGAGAATAGTAATGCACACCTCACTCAGTTTGTAACAGCATCTGTATTTGCTTTATTTTATTTACCCCGTGTCTGGTCTGGTCTTTTATCTGGAAACAATCCAGTGGCTCACAAGAAGAGGGCAACTAAGTATTACTGGAAAGAGCCGTTTCTGAGAAAGGACTAAAACGATTTTTCAGTATTAAATAACCGAACACTGAACACGCTGAACAGATAACAAAAAGGTTTTTGATTACTTGAACAGCAAATGAGAGGGGGAAATGGTGAACGCAAAGATAAAAAAAAAAAAAAGTCAGATTAAAGAGTACTTTAAGAAATAATCACACTTGCAGAAGAATTCAGGAGAATTCACCTCGAGTTAGTCTTAGGGGGGAGTGACGTTTATATCATGTGACTGGAGTCTCCAGCTGTGAGGAGCATATGTGAACATCCAGGTCAGGAGAATCTCCAGAGCAGTCGTCCTGAAATGATCTCGATATTTTCAGGAGTGTAAATGTGAAACCAGCTAAAGTATGTAAAGTACTGCTGTCTTAGTTTCCTTTAGCCTTGTGACGTCACTGAAAGTCCCTCACAGTGTGAGTCATGTTCCCTCGTATCCGTCTTTAGCAGTCTCACAGTTTCACTTTCCTTCTGTGTGTGAACGCAGGTTTTCGCCAGGTGTGGCCAACGATCCAGCTCCCTCCTCTGGCCCTATGAAGAGACGCACACAGTCCCTCAGCGCCCTGCCCAAGGACGGAGACAGAAAGGTCAGTATGGATTGGGTTATTTAAAACAGGATTGAAAAAGCATCATTACAATTGCATAAATAAAACTCAAGTAAAGTCATTCAGAGCAACATGTGATCTTTATCCAAAGGCTACATGTATGTATCTGGTTTTAAGTTTCGTACCATCACATCCCTGAGCACTGATTTGATGTCTTAACTCTGTGTCCTCTTTCAAACCCTCAAACAGAGAGAGAAAGACCACATCCGCCGTCCTATGAATGCATTCATGATCTTCAGTAAACGCCATCGCGCCCTGGTGCACCAGCGACATCCCAATCAGGACAACCGCACAGTCAGCAAGATCCTGGGGGAGTGGTGGTATGCTCTGGGGCCCAACGAGAAGCAGCAGTACCACGATCTGGCCTTCCAGGTTCATATCTTTTCACCATAATGCCTAAGCTACTCTTTAGCTGATGATGTGCTCTAGGCATCCAGTTGAATCAACAGTGAAAAGAACTTACTTCCTGAATTAGTTGTGAAGACAGACTGTCTCCTCCTGCTTCAGGTGAAAGAGGCCCACTTCAGAGCACATCCAGATTGGAAGTGGTGCAACAAGGACCGCAGGAAGTCGCTGTCAGAGGGCCGTGGGACGCCAAAGGATCTTCGGGAGAGGAGCATGTCAGAGAGCATAGGTGTGTGTGTGTTATTTAGCGGTTCTAGTCATGTCTTCTTAGACCAGGGAACATTTTGAATCTACTCGTGCTTGTTATCATTTTTGTCTCTTTTGGACTTTGTAATTGCTTCAAATAAGTCCAAAGTTCAAATTGAGCCTTATCTGGGCGAAAAATTACAATATTTATAAGATATTGCAGGAATTTTGTTCTTCCATGTGCGTCGGCGTGGACTTCATGTAGCTGGTTCTTTGTTTTATTGATCTATTCCATGAAAGTACAGCGTGATATTTAATCCATGTTCTTCTACAGATCCTCATTTGGAGTCTCAGGTGCTGGAGGGGAAGGGAGGAGGCCCAAACTGGCCTGCGGGATCAGAGCGTCGAGGGGGTCTGTTTGTGGGGCAGAACCCCCGTCCCAGAGCCTTTTCCCAGAGTGCTGTGCACACCCTGGAGCAGAGGGAGAGAGACCTGGAGAAGGTACGAGGTTGTTAATCTGTAGCTCAAAGGCGGAGAGCAGACTCTGGAGATTAAAGAAACGGTTTCAGATCACTAGCTAGTTTTTAATCTTAAAGCTTAAATCATGTGCTCCCAGTCTTGTCAGGAGTATTATTAAAGCACTTCTAACAAGTCTGCTGCAAGAGAACAAAGGAAAAAGTCAAACAAATAAAAGGGGCAGAAAATCAAAGTGGCAGACGAGAAGCAGAACAATGTTTGTGAGCGCCCATGAATCCAAACACACAGCAGACGTGTGTCCTTCACACCACAGAGCGTTTCTGTTGAACTCTTCAACTGAAAGCGCCCTGTTGAAAAAACAGTTCAAATGGACGCTCTTTGTTCTTTGTGTGAGGGCTCGAGTCGTTGCTGCTGAAAAACCCACTGAAAGCTCTGGGGGAGCTCAGCCTCCAACTTCAAAGGTTTCACTTTCTCCTTTTTTAGTGCCTTTGAAGGTGCAAGACTGGTGTTTGCTGCTTCGCTCCTAATCACAGAGGAATAGGTCTGCATGTGAGCTCTTTTGTTTTGAAGGCATTCATGTTGTGCTGCATGTATGAATGCTTTGGGGGGAATAAAGAGTCTGAGAGCGTTCCTGAGAAACTCAGGCTTTCTTTTTAGTTTTGAGTTTATAATCAGTGTCTTTTCAACAATAAAAAAATACTTCAAATATTTAAAAAAATCATTTTAGAAGTTGTAAAAACGATTTGGTTTTCTCTGCAGGACGGCGGCACAGGCTTGTTTCGCCAACGACCCATGCCTCAGTCCATGTACCAGGGCGGGGCCAGTGAGGACGTGACCAGCGATGAGGAGCGTATGGTCATCTGTGAGGAAGAGGGGGACGATGACGTCATGGGTGAGTTAGACGAGCAGCCGCAGAGTGCTCCTGTATTGGTTAAAGAGGCTGTTACGTAACCACAAGGTCAAAGTTTCAGTTCCCATAACAATCAGTGTGTCTTTGAAAAGCTTCGGCCTTCTTAGTCTAAATAACAATGTCAGCAAAAAAAAACAAAAAAAAAACTGCTGTGTCATCTGCCGAGCTCCCGTCATGGACTGTTAATCACTCGTGTTAAAATAGAGCAGTAACAAAAACACATCATTTGCTTTGGTGGTGAGTAGATGGTTTAAAGGCAGCTGTCTTTTAATGAATGCCCAGATAGCAGGTTTGCTTCTTTCACTCGGCTGTAAATGAAAATGAAATCATAACCAGGAAACAGTTGAAAGATTAATATCATGCATGCTTAAATTGTTTAAATGCTAACAGCTGATGTCCATGTCTCACCCTCAGAGGATTCCTGTCCTGAAGGCTCCATTGACCTCAAGTGTAAAGAGAGAGTGACAGACAGTGACGAGGACGAACCGGATGGACAGGTAGCTGCACTAATTATCAATAACACGGACTACTATCCACCATGGATGAATTAATAAAACCTGAGAAAAGACCCAAAGATGGCTCCTGTTCAGTCCACTAGGTTATGCCAGAAAAGTCTGTGACTTCTAGGTGAACTCCTGAAGTTTGCAGCCCACTGAATCTGAGCTGTAGTGTTTCTCTCACAGACTTTAAACTGCTTGCTTCAGTGTGAGGATTTTTTTTCAAATGTATAACCATAACTATACATTTAGGTTAAGTATTCATGATAAAAAGAAGAACAATCAAAAAATGTTTACAGTGTAAGATTTCCTGTAAACACAGACAGCTGTTTTATAAAAACGGCCTTCGAAGAAAATGCAGGGGAGTTTTTGCTGCAGTACCTGAAGTGGCCACAGGACACAATGGATCCATGCTATATATTTATTGGCGTTTACTTTGAGCTTGGTGAAACTGAGTGTGTCCAGCATAAAGGATAATCTAAATGGCCAATAGGATACCCCGTGCACAGCCTCTATGTTCTCAGGTGCTCACGGCTGCAGAAACATACCATGGAAAATAAATCACTCTGAAAATAACTTTACTGTAATTTATTGTGCGCGAACAATGCGTTCGCCTGTCGCTTCCTTAGGTTCTCCCAGCTGGGCTGAGCTGATTGTTTTTATTGGTATCTTTGTTTTTATCCATGACCTTTTCTGACCTGTATATAGTCTCTACATCACGCTACACCGTAAATACATTTTCTACTCATTCAAAACTGAATCTAGCCGTTTAGGTTAAATGTCGATGTAGTTCGATTTTTCATGGCCGAGCCTTGAAGACTTTCACTTAATCCTGCATGTAAGGCATCGTATCGTTGGTGCTTTAATTTAAGCTTTTGTCTTTCTGAATTCATTTTTCCCAGCAAACTTTAAAAACCCAAAGAGTTCCTATAAGTTGAGAGACTTGTGTGCTCACAAAGATGAGAAGAAGTTTACATACAGTAACTTTCCGGCTTTGATCTCTCTCTCTCTCTCTCTCTCTCTCTCTCTCTCTCTCTCTCTCTCTCTTCCCTGCAGCATGGCTTCCAGCCAGCGGCTCGCTCCTCGCTCCCCTCTTCCTCTCCCTCCATCCCTCACTCTGACTCCACCTCATCTAAAGGGAACAGCGGAGGGGGAGGAGGCGGCGGCGGTGCCGAGGAGGGATCTGAGAGGAAGAGAAAGAGAGGTGCACATGGAGGAGAAGAGGGGAGTGAGGGAGGATCCAGGAGAGAGGAGACAGCAGCAGGGGGAGGAGAAGGAGGTGGGAAAAGTGTCTCCTCTCTGTCCGTGGCTGCCTCAACACCTGGCGTCCAGCCTGCCCTCGCTTTCGCTCAGTCCGGTTTGACCCAGGTCCTCGGCCCTGTCCGCATGGCCCCCACTATGGTGACCAATGTGGTAAGACCCATCGCCAGCACACCAATTCCCATCGCCAGCAAGTCGGTGGAAGGAGCCGTCCACCTCACTTCTCTGCCCCAGGACAAGAAAACCGCTCTCCTGATTGGAGGAGGTGGGACTCAGCAGCTGCCAGGCGCCACAGGGGGTGGGTACCTGTCCTCATCCTCCTCTCCTGGTCAAGTCAGTGTAACCCCTGTGGGCAGCAGCGGCCTGGTCACTAGCCTAGTTCTCAGTGGGCCCTTTCCTGCTGCCCAACCAATACAGCTTCTCACCCCGCAGCCCCCGCTTCCTGTTCTCCCCCCAACTACTGCCACCTCCTATCACACACCTCCCGCCAGCCTCAAGCCGCTAGCTCAGGTCCAGTACATCCTGCCAGCCGAGAGCCCTTCCTCACCTCAACTCACCCACCAGCAAATTATCTCCCTGCCCACCAATACTGCCCTGGCCAATGGCGTGCACTCGGGGGCGGGGATCAGAGTTGCGTCAGTCAGCCCTGGGACCAGAGGTGAGACAGCGAGCAACGACTGGCTGAGCTTAAAAGAAAAAAAGCTAAATTTGAATCTTAATGTTTACACTGGCCCTCTAAAAACTAAAAGAAAAAAGAAACACTGCTTTGATTTTTTTTTAAATTTTTTCCCTGAAATAATCACGTCCACAGGAAGCACTTAAAATAGATTTGATTGGCTTACATAAACAGGAGAAAAATGATTGACAGGAGAAACACTGTTGACATGAGTATGAACGCCTGCCGCCCACCCAGGCCTTAATCACTCTCTATTCATAAGAGTCAGAAGCAACAGAACATTGTTCCAACCTGTTATCAGCTAGAAATTTCACTATTAACAGTCTGAAATGTCCTTTCTCTATCAGAGCGTCTCCGCCCACCAGTCGCTCCTGTGTCTTCTTCACCTCTCTTATTTTGGCTCGATTCATCTGTTTCTCAAGCTGGGTGTTTTTAAATTTCTCTCTCTCTCTCTCTCCCTCTCTCCCTCTCTCTCTATATCCTCTTCTCACTCATTAGTCCAAACCCAGTCGCCCGTCTTGCAGAGCAAGATGTTGGTTCCCATGGCAACAGTCAGAACAGGGTCTACTCCTCCTCATCCTTCCATCTCCCTGGTTGCTCCGCCCCTTCCTGTGCAGAACGGCACCGCGACAGGAAACAAGGTAAGAATGTCAACACATTCACCGAAACAAGTGTCAACAGATTACAGATAAATAGACACCCCCCCCCCCCCCCCCGGTTGCTGACAGGCGACAAAGTAGTTAGATCCTGAACATCAGCAGCACCAAGTAAAATAGACGGAGACGACACATGTTCCTGGAGAGTACAAAGTGGGCTACAGAGAGTCTGGGTGGTGAAAAGAACATCAGGAGGAAGTCTGCTCTGTGCTCATGTGCTGCGTCGTTACATGTGTGGATCAGTCTGACGACACAGCTGGATGCTGAGATCACCTTTAAAAAAAATCATAGAGAGAAAAGTCTAAAGGAGTGAAAACTTGTGTGTGATGCTGAAACTGTTAAATGCATTCAGAAGGCAGAACATTAATTTGTTTGTAGTGTTATCATCAAAGTTGTTTTTTTTTTTTTTTTTTAGGAAAAATGTAAATTTTGTGTTTTTCAAGCTTTTTGAAAATGCAGTGATTTGCTTCCTCTTTCCCTTTGATATTGTCCAAAGTGAATAATTTAGAGGTTTGGACTGTTCGACAAATAAAAGAGCATCGCTACTTTTAAAAAAGATGAATCACTTAGGTAACTTTTTCAAGGCAAATGTTAAATATTGGCTCTTCTACCGTCTTAAATGTGAGGATTTCCTGCCTCTTTTTGTCCCTCCACATGTCTTGACCGTGTGCAGCCCTCGCTTCAACCTTTTTTCTAATAATACTAATAACAGTTGGTTGCTGCATGATATTCCTTTTGAATATTTTTTTCTTATTTCATATCACTAATCAAAACAGTGAAATTAAACAAGAAATGTAATCACAAAACGTAGACGTTTGAGCTCAAAGGCTTTGCTGCATCTATGCAGAGGACTAGTTTGTTTAGTCAAAGAGCTAGAATTCTTCAAAAGACCATAAAACATTTGGTATACACCTAACTTCTAAATGTTTGATAATCAGATGCGTGTATTTTTAGCTGATCGATGATAAAATCCTTTCTTTGTGATGTTGTCTCCTCCCCTGAAGATTATCCAGATAGCTCCCATGCCTGTGGTCCAGACCAGCGTTCATCCTGGTGGTGCAGCAGCAGCAGCAGCAGCAGCAGTGCATCCTGGGAGCCCCTTTCCTGTTTCTGTGGCAACGGTGATGGCTCCCGGTGCCACGCCTCCACAGACCGTTCTCCTGACCTCTCCACCCACCAGGTCAGTAACGCAGGCCGAACACCTGAAAGACAGCAGCGTGTACCTGCTTTTATTTTCCTCAGCGACTGATTCACATTCTTCAGTGGAGCAGCAATAAAAGATTTCAGCCGGTTACATGAATTATACTTCAGGTTCCGACAATATGTGTGTGTGTGTGTGTATGTGTGGTTTGTTTTTGTACTGTGTCCGTGTTGTCATTCATGTGAGCTGTGTGTGCACTGATGCTTATTTTAATTTGATTTTGAAAGCTGAAGTCATGAGAGTTTAATTAAATCGGTCCGTTGACTGAGTGTGAACCAACCACAGTTTCTGTAATTACTATGTCGCCCCAGACGCCTCAGAAAAACACCGCAGATCCACTTGTTTCATCTCGTTTCATACGCTGTTGATTTGAGTTTTTCTCTAGTTTTCTATTATCGTAAACTGAACAACTTCCTGTTTCTAAAATGAGCTTGGGATATATGTTTTTTTTAAGTACTGAAATAATAAATTAAACAGAAAATGATAACCAGAAAAATCGGTTAGATAGTTGATTTTTTAAATGTAATGAGTAATGTAAAATCCGGCGCATAAGACACACTTATGATACCTTCTTTTAAATGTTGCTGCGTCCTATAAACCAGTGCGACCAATATACCAGTTTAATTCACTCACATTCATTGTGTATTGCAAGCTGTGCAGGGAAACATGACGATGCTGACGAGGCTGGCGGCGCCACTTTTTTACTGTCTTTCCTCCGTCATGAGGTCATAATGGTGCATTTAAAGCAAACGGTGGTTGAAGCTTGTGGAGTGCTGGTTTGATTTAAATACTCCTTAATTAAAGTTAAGGAGTGACCAGCGGAGGTGTTCAGCACGGCTCTTTGGACAAGGGTCTGTACGTCACAACTTCCACCGTCGGCTGAGAGCTCAACTATCGTACCGTAGCTAGTAGGAGTGCGAACTTGAACACAAAGGAAACAGTTTAAACCTTTTTTTCTCTCTCTCTGGGAGATCTCCAAAATCAGACTGCGTCTTATACAGCGCTGTGACTTCTTTTCCGGATTTTAACGACATATCATGATCAGTTTTTTGTATTTGTTTAGTATTTCTGTTACAGTTACTGACGCTCAGCTCTCTTTTCTGTAGGATCTCTTACGTCCAGTCTGGCCCTGGAGTTACAACAGCATCACCACAGCAGGCCACACCCACCCAAGGCCCCGCCTATCTCCCGTCATCTCTGGCCACTCTTGGCTTCGCTGCCGTCGCCCCTCCTGGGCAGACCCTGGTTCAGCCAATTGTTGGTCAACCACCACTCCTAGCACCCGCCCCGCCCCTGAGCTGTCAATCACAGACCCCTCCAGGTCAGGCCTCAGGAACCGCTGTGCGTCAGGTAAATATACTTTTAAAGCCCAGTGTGTAGGTGTGTGGTCATGAGGAAAATTCAAAATCTTTCTCGTCAAAAGAAGCGTTTAACGGGAGGCATATTAAAAGCAGTCTGCCTTTTCATCAGGGTTTATTTGCTTCAAAAGATCATTTGTAGACATGAAGGTTACTGAAGTCCCTGCTGCGCATTACCTTTTAATTAATATGTGATTCTTTTACTTTTTTTACAGTTTTAATTTCCTGATTGCACAAAAGTGTCCATCATTTATATAAAGATGTATGAATTAATTAAACCCCATCAAAAGTTCAGTGCGTGAAAAAAAAAAAGTGCAGTTTGATTTGAAAAGGCAGCTGGCTCAAAGGTGCTAGATACAGCATTCTGGTTTCAACAAATCATCACTACATTTGTTTTGAGACTTCAGGGAAACTGCAGTAAACACACAAGAGAAACACAAGTCACTTGAAGACTTTGCATTTTGTGGTAACATTTTGAAACTGTTGGGTTCATTTAAAGCACACAGATTCTTTTTTTACTCCACAAGAAATCAATATATTGAATTTCACTTTCAGAGGTCTGGACTTTAGCTTAAATTCTATCCTTTAAAGGTCACATATTCTCCTCCTCTTCAACCAGTTTAAATAAGTCTCAGAGCTCCTTAAAACATGTGTGTGAAGTTTCTTGTTCTAAATCCACTCTGATCCTGTATTTGATCATGCCTATAAACCCCTCGATTTCAGCCCTGCTCAGAACAGGCTGTTTCCGTGTCTGTAGCTTTAAATATGTAAATGAGCTGTGTTTGACCACACCCCCTCTCTGGAAGGGCTTGGGTGTCTCGGGCTTTCTCGCTCCATGTCCTATTGTTTGCGGTGAGAAGGCAGACTCAGAGGGCAGGACAAACACCTAGCTGTGGGCGTGTCACCCATCTGGGGGAGGGGTTACTGCCCTTTGTGATGTCATGAAGGGAACATCTCCAAACGGCCTGTTTGAGCACACATTTTCTGAAAAGTGGAGCAGGCAAAAGACTGAGAGGATGGACTTTTCTCATCATTGGGGGGTTTGTAGACAGACTAGAGACACATGTTAGTGTTAGAAAAACATGGTGAAGTGTATTTTGAATAATATGTGACCTTTAAAGCTGTTTCCACTTTTTTATCCGTCTGTATGTTACACCTCAAAACAAACTAGGAAAGCCCTTCTGCCACATATTACCCACATGTTGTCTCCTCTCCTGACATCCTTGCTTTGCTTTCTTCTTCTTCAGGTACTTACTGCCATCTATCCTGCACCAACCATTGCACTGCCTACTGGTGTGGTCTCTGCGGTCTCTCACGGTCTTACGACTGCAGTGGCCGCCCCGGCCCAGGACCTGATAAAACCCTCCTCCCCATCGGCAACAGGAGTCCAGGGCTCACCTGCAACGACCCCTCAGCCTAACGTTGCAGTGGAGGTGCAGCCAAAGGTGGAAGTGAAGAAGGAGAGACAATCAGATGGTCACACTGAGGACGGATTGAAGGGGTTGACGAGCTGCCCGTTCAGTTCCTCATTGGCCACCTGTATGAGCAACATGATAACAGGTAAAGCTCCACTGGTTACTCTCGGTTTAGAGCCTCAAAAATCAGCTTGAATCTTGTCTTATTTTCCCCAATCTCCAAATAAAACATCAGCACCGGTATCAACTTATTCTAAATGTAACTCGGTGGAAGTGTCACTCACTTCATCGCCCTTTACTTTGACATTTTTGCAGAATCATCAGATATTTGCTAACTAGTCATCTGTGTGGATCGGTTCTCTTATATCTAAGTTAACAATCAACTGTATCTGTTGCAGTTAAAAAAGAGGAGGACGTCTGTCTGCAAATCAAAGAGGAAAATCTGAGAGACGGACACAACAGCGAGACGGAAAATGAGCGAGAGAACTCAGAGACAGACAGAGAGGACAGCAGCAGAGAGGTGAGAAGAGATGTTCATTCAGTCTTTTCTGATCAAACCCCACAGTAAAGGGTCTCACGGGGTGATTGACAGTTATCTATATAAGGGAGGAACCTTTGATACTGGTCAGGTGTTTCACCCGGAGGGAAAAAACAGTTTTTTGTCCCTTTAGCAGTTGGTGCCAGTGTTTTTGGTATGGAAATATGGACATGTGAAGCCAGTGAAAAAGTGTCAAATCAAAGAACGCCATGATCAACAGTGCAATTTGATTTGGACAAGGTAACGTTAGCGTGTCAGTTTGTAAATCCAGGTGCAGCGCGTGGGTGGCTTACGTCATCGGCTTGCCTCTACCCCCACATTCATCAGTCTAAGACTCTCATGTAATACATTTTCTTAATTTCTTCTCCTCTAAGGGAATCAGAACTTTTGTATATAAACGACAACTTTACAAGAAATTCTGTTTTTCCAGTTTCCTGTCTTTACACTTTAATAACTTACATCAGAGCAGTCTGTTCAACCACTTAGAGCTGGTCTGAGAACTGATACAAGACAACAGAGAAAGGAGACCAGCTCACTAAAATATCTTCAAGGAAAAATCGAGGAATGGAAGAGTCGAAAAGAACATTTGATATCTGACATTGACTTCAGAGAGTCTTTATTAGGTTAAAGAGTTATCTCACCCCTCTCTCTCTCTCTCTCGCTCTCTCTCTCTCGCTCTCTCTCTTTCCCAGGCTGGACCTCGTTCCACTCCTCCAGCAACCTCAGGTTTGGACCCCCCTCCACCTCCCCCTTCGGAAAGAGATCCCCCCTCTGCCTCAAAGAAGATCAAGTTCAGACCCCCACCTCTCAAAAAGACACCTGACTCTCTCGACAAGTAAGCAGCACATTAAATTAAAGGAGGCGTCATTAATATTACAATCTGTGCAAACCTTTTTTTAGGAGTTCTCATGTTCTCTTTGGTTTAAAGGAAGAAATCAGAATGAGCATGAAATGGTTAAGCGTGTAAACGAGAAGTGAAAGTGAGTGTGAGACTCGAGCGTTTAGTTGAAGCTCCATCTCGTCTTTCCGGAGCCTTTCTCTGAGATCAGACTTTAGTTCTCTCTCTTGTAGAACCAGTGCCAAACTCAAACAACACAAGTCTGCTGATCCTTCTGTCTCGGTCATTGTAAGACAATGTTCCCTCTATTTTAACAGTTTACATCTCCTCAAGCTGAGAGGGCTCATTGAACAGTAGCTTGTCTTCTGTCATTGTGGTGGAAAGCAGCTTGAAGATGAGACGCACAAATCTGGAAAGGACTCCATTTGTTGACTCGGTTTAACACTGATTTTCACACATTGTGTCGTCGAGCTCCATTTTTAGTTTGTGGCCAAACCTCCCAACTTCATGAAATGATGGTGGAAGCTCTTTGTCTACTGGATGTGAGTGGGTGGAGTGCTCACCCTTTATATTCTTTATTTAGACAGCAGCGGAGTGGTGTTGAGGTCACATGGCAGATCTCAGCCCTCAGGCATGAGAAATGTGTATACATGCAGAGGACATCCCTGGATACTTCATCCAACAGTTTAATGGACTAGAGATTGAAATGACCGCTGTGTTCTCTGCGTGCAGGGTTTTGTCTGAGACGTACTTCGAGGAGCGTTTTGCCGAGCTTCCAGAGTTTAATCCCGAGGAGGTCCTTCCTTCGCCCACTCTGCAGAGTCTGGCCACCTCACCTCGAGCCATCCTGGGAAGCTACCGCAGGAAGAGACGCAACTCCACCGGTGAGAGGCAGAGAGAGAGAGACTCACACACTTAGAGTCAACAAAATACCTGAAGTGATACAGAACGAACGCCCTCAACCATCTCATCGCCCCTGGAGATTTGAGCTCATGAATTGGAGCTTGCTCTCTCTGCAAATCAGTCCCATGCTGTTCAGGAAAATGAGTCTCCTGAGTTTAACACAAAAATGTTGTCAAAACGCTCATTTAATTGCAAACATAGTTTTTATATCAGTAATGCATGAAAAGCAAAAAATTAGGGCTGCTGAAGTGTTTTAATCGTGATTTATCACTGAATATAAAAGTTAATCGTGGTTAATCGAATTTTAAGTGCATGTTTGAAATTCTGTAATTTTGCATTTCAAAACAGGTTTTTAAATTCAAATTAGCTCAGTCTGCTCAGTCTGTAGGGACTTGGGTTGGGAACTGGAGGGTCGCTGGTTCAAGTCCCGGTGTGGGCCAAATATGGAAGTTGGTCTGGTAGCTGGAGAGGTGCCAGATCGCTTCCTGAGCACTGCCGAGGTACCCTTGAGCAAGCCACCAAACCCCCCCACCCACCACCAGCTCAGGAGCGCCTGCCGGGGGCCGCTCCGTCACTCTGACATCTCTCCATTAGTGCATGTCCATAGGATCCTGTTAGTGCATGTGTGTATTTCAGCCTATGTGTGTGTTGCATGACTTACAGAGTGTAAAAACAGAATTTCCCCTTGTGGGATCAATAAAGTAAATCTTAATCTTAATCTTAATCTTAATGTTGCAACGCAGGGGGAGTACTGATAGCCTAGCGGTCATATTGCACGCCCCATGTACAGAGGCTAAAGTCCTCTCACCAGTGTTTTGATTTGGGAGTCAAATGATTGTTAAGAAATGTGCTTCATAATCTGGACTTTTAGATTTATCAATCAGGTAAGTGCTGCACTGCATTGGTCTGAAACCAGGACGTGGAGCGAGGATACAGTTTCAAAGTGCTTGTTTTTTATTGTTCTGAAAGATAACCATGTTAGACCAGAAACATGCAGGAGTGCATGAATGTGCAGCACATTTCAATAAAGTGCAAACAAACAAAAATGACTGCATAACTCCATTACCTCTGAGTGTAATTATATACAGTGGATCAATCATCACCGTGTCATCACTATGTTTGCTCCACGTCTGTGGTGATTTTGCACACTCCAAAATAGTGCTCGGCCTGCGCTGATGATGCGGTTGCCCACTGACATCAGTCTGATTATCAAGCGTTTGTATGATTAGCTCGTAGGTGGAAGCTCAAACTCAAAGTGCTTCAGTGATATTTTAATTCCGTTGGACACGAGGTGCGTATTACTTTGAGCTCTGTGGTGTCGTTATGTTCCATCGCTGCAGCAGGAAGACGCTACAGTGGCTTTATGTACAGAGCGCCAAATGGGACAAAATAGCATGTAAAATGTAATTAATACATTTCTATCCTTAATCCCTTTGCTCTAATAAAGCAAAACCAATTCTATGAAATGCTCTCTGTGTTTGCTGGAAATGGTGATTTACAGTGGAAATTATAAGTAAAGCAGTTGCTTCTTTTTTGAACTTACCTTTTCTCTTTTTAAACTCAATTTCTCCCATTCTCATGTGATGTTTTTCACCCTGCCTCATTCTGATTCTTCCTTTCCTTATTCCACTGCCTCTTATTGATTATAATATCTCCACTGTCCTCTCCACAACAACATCTCTCTGCCCCATTCCACCATCGTTTCACACTCTTCTGGTTCCACTTTCCATCATCATTCCCTTCCTTAACCCTTTAAATGTCCTGTTTTTTTTAGAGCTGGAACCGACAGCAGAAGAGCCCAGCTCCCCAAGGAGGAAGACTCGCCGTCTCTCCAGCTGCAGCTCCGAGCCCAACACCCCGAAGAGTGCAGCCAAGTGTGAGGGCGAGATCTTCATCTTCGACAGACCAGGTACACCGCGTGCAATAGCTGCAGGACAGCTCGTGAATATGTATTGAAAGTAACGAGACGTTTTCTTTCTTTAACCAGGTACAGAAGGAGAGGATCTTCTCGGAGATATAGACCGGGTCCCCTATTCTTCTCTGCGTAGAACTCTGGATCAGCGCCGGGCCCTGGTCATGCAGCTGTTTCAGGAGCACGGCTTCTTTCCTTCAGGTAGGAAGTAAATGATTTCACAGTGAGAAGAACTTAGGCCTTGTGTCCACCTAGCATTTTGTCTGGGCAGAAAAGCTCGCTCTGGAGCGTTTGCATGAAGCGTTTGTTGGCTGAGAAGAAAAGCGCTGCACGTCTGTCCTGTCTCTATGACAACAGTCTGTTGTCAACAGCCGCTGTATTGACCGACACTGCTCCGTTACATTTTACTGCATGTTTTATATTTTAGATCGTTTTTTACCCGATCTGACGCGGAGTGAGGAGGATGTGGGTACAAGACACGATCCATAGGCAGCAAAAATACAGGAAATATCATACAATAGGAAAAGAGCGCCGGTTACATCAAAAGTGCCTTTCTGAAAAGTTGAGCGCTTGGAGCGGTCACAAAAAAAAAAGAAAAAATACGCTGGGCACTGCGCTTCTTCTCCAGGCGTCCACCTGCTGCTCCAAACGCTCTCTACTCATTGAAAAAAATTGGTAAAAGAAGCTGGCGCTCAGAAAAAAAAATACTAGTTGGAAACGGGGCCTTACTTATCAAGAGATAAAATCTTTGAATTCTATTGAACAGAAAAACTTGATAATTTATACCTTTGGACACTTGGAAACATTTTTTATGTGTCATAAAAGTATGCTGATAAGTTATTTCCTCTCTCTCTCTCTCGCTCTCTCTCTCTCTCTCTCTCTCTCTCTCTCTCCTTTCAGCTCAGGCCACTGCGGCCTTCCAGGCACGCTACTCGGACACCTTCCCCACCAAGGTGTGTCTGCAGCTGAAGATCCGAGAGGTCCGTCAGAAGATCATGCAGACGGCCACACCCGGAACCTTCGAGCTCGGCGTGCCAGCCGAAACCAGCCCTGCCCTGCCCCACAGTTCCTCCTACAATCAATCAACCCGGGAGGACGGAGGGGCGGAGCAGCATGGAGACAAAGGCCGGAGCCCTGAGGAGCCAAAAAGCGAAGGATCTTAATCTGGAGGGGATTCAAAAATAAGTGGAGAAATCGAGAAAAGGAAGAAGAGAGAGAAGGGAGTGTGTCATCCCCGCAGAATGTTCTTGTATGTGTTGCACCAGTTCTCCAGCGGGATCCGATCTACTGGCACTAAAATCTCCGCCAGACCTGGGCAAAAAAAAGAATCCTTTGACTCTGGTCACTAATATTCAAACTACACAAGGCAGCGCTTGATTTGTCTAATCAGACATTCACGACTCAAGAAGAGCCTCGAAGTGGATGAACAACATGCAAGTCCCGATGAGTCACGTGCTCCTCGTAGTTTTCTTTTTCTTTCCAATTATGAAGAATATTTTCAGTTAACACTCTGCCCAGGTCTGCTCTCAGCACATTTGTACAGTAGTTTGTAGTTTAAGACACACAAACACACACTCTCTATCTCTGGCACATACACACACACACACTGGTGCATATATAATCTCCAGCATGCACATGATCCCACATATACACACATGCGCGCACACACACACACACACACACACACACACACACACACACACACACTTACCAAATCAGACTGTTACTCTTGGTTGGAAGTCCACAAGGGCCGCCGCCAATGACCACGACACACAAAGGCACTTTGTCACTTATTGTGCAGATGCAGTTTGCTGTTGCCAGCCAGCCAGCCAGCCCTCAGATGCCATTGACTTGACCTCCTTCTCGCCCCCTCCACTCCTCAGCACAGTGGTCGGGACACAAAACACAACCCCAACGACCTCCACTTATATTCCACAGCCCCTCGATGCTGCAAGACAGACAGCACACACAGACATAAATATACTGTACATTACACGCAGACACACAAACATGGACACATCTGTGCAGTGTGAGCACTTGTACACAAACATCGTCAACTCTGGTCTGACCAAGCCATCGGCCTGCACAGTTTTTAGTGATTGTAGTGAGAAGAGAAGCTGAACGCATGAAATCTATTCGCTCCTGGAAAAGAAAAGGAAGAGCAGGAGTTGGGATGTAGTGTGACCAATATTTGCACCTTCAGTTATTGCCATTATGAAAGACTGAGTCCTCATTGGCGGGAGCTGATTATATATGTCTGTATGTCTGTCGGGGCGCCCTCCCCGAAACCTGTGTGAACAGGCTCCGTAAAGAGATTATGTAAAGAGACTAATGGTTGTGAGGCTTTGAAGATTCAACGTAAAGTTCGACACTGACTGGCTCTCATCAGAGCGCGCAGGGAAAACACTGAAGAAGAAACTGGATGATGTTCATTGGACGGGAGTTTCATATTCCAACTATAGGAACACAGATAATAATAGCGAATAAGGACAAGAAGAGAGTGAAAAAGTAGAATTTTAACCAAACTTCTCTGAATCTCCCAGTGGATATAATGTTGCTTTCTCTCGTTATCGTTGCCGTGGAAATAACCAGTTTTACCGTGGCCTGTTTTTCTCTCGTGGCTCTATTGTGTTTCTTCTCCAGCATAAAAAAAAAATCACAACAAAAAAGAAAAAAAAAAAACTTTGGACAAAGAAGGGGACAAATCAGTTGGTGGCAGCCCCTACTTTTAATCATACCTGGGGCGGTTCTCCACCCAGCCTCCCCCCTTCTCTCTGCTACGATTTCTCACCAGACAGAAGAGGGGGAGCAGGGGTGTTCGTCGTTTTGTTAAAAACGCAGAATTCAGGTGTTTGCACAATTTGTGCGGCCCCTCTCATCTGGGACCGCCGCAAGTTAAATCAGGAAAGTATTGTTTTTAGAGATTGTTTTAGTAGAAAAAATAATAACCTTGTTCCGTATGTTATCAACCCCCTCTTTTCCTCCCCTGGTCCTCCCTTTCTTTCCCTCTCCTGTCATTTTTCCTCAGTCCTGTCCATCCTCCCTTCCTTACCTCAATCGGGTCTCTACGGCCCCCTCAAGTGTTGTTAGAAAGTGCCCTTAAGCACTGGTCCCGGGTCAAGCGCTATGTAGCTCAGGATGGCTCTGGTTAGGGTTAGTTCAGGGAAAGCAGATCCTAGACCAGCCCTGGAGGGCAGTCTCTGGAGCCCTCCCCTCTTCCCTCTCTTCTTGACACTTTATCCTTTCCCGTCAAATGGTGCAATAGGACATTTCTTTTTTGGAAGTGGGTGGGTTATTTTGTTTCCGGGGGAAAGGCTCCGTGCCATAGATATTAAACCCAGTGCAGTCAGTCAGTGAGAGGAATGAGATGTTGTGATACTATCTTTAACTATGGTATAAAACAAACAAAAAAAAAGAATCACACAGTTATTGTTCTTGTTGAAGAGATAGAGGGTTTAACTTACTAAAAGTCAAAGACAACTTTTGAATAGCACTTTTTGGCTCTTTGCTTCCTCTGTGAAGAGTGGGGTAGTTATTACTATGGGTATCTCTTTTGTTTCTCTGTATACAGTTGGATGTGTGCAAAAATATATATACCGGTATTTCCATATATGTGCATTTAGGTCTGTGTTTGGGTGTGTGTGAATGTTTTAGCACATGCAGGTAGTGTGTGTACACGACCAACCTCTCGTTCTTTCTCCACTAAGCAACATAATCAATAGTATATTTTTCATTGTATTCAACATTCTATATTCTACTCTAGAGACAGTATTTTTATAGTCACCAAGACTATTTTGTCCACCATCTTGACTGTTATTGAACCAAGTTGATTCAGGATATATACACGATATATATTCAGGATATATATATATATAAATATATATATAAAGACACACAGGTAATACAACGACTATCAATTCTCACCTCTGGGGTTAGGGCTGTTAAGTGTCCATCTGCATGCATGTGCAATCACATGCACACGTGCACACACACCCACACAGACATATGTGCACACACACACATGTATGCGTGTACACTGTATGATTGTGCTTAAAAATAAACTGTCCTTACTTTGGAGAAGGAATTTTAGGATGAGCGATGTGAGTGTATCTCATAAGCAGGCATGTTGACCATGTGCAATATTTCTAAACAACAAAAAAACTAAATATTGAAAATATTAAAGACCTAACACAATGTTTGATGCCTGTTTTCTTTTTTGGATTTCTCTAGAGTTGATATGTTTCTGCCTTATTTGTGATCAGGGTCAGATTTCAATGATTCACTCCCCCAGGTTTTTGCTTTTTTTGCTTTTTCCGAAATGGCAACGGAAGAGAACACGTTTGGCTGCAGACTAATGAACAGGATCTACAGATGCAGCCAACTGGACCTACCAGGCAAGTCCCCAAAATCCCTGGAACAAACACAGTGTACTTCTCTAGCTGGCCTTTGTCAAGCATATCAGTGCTAAGAGAGTTTATTGGATTAGTGTAGCCTTTCATGTCGGGTCGTATTGGGTGAGAGGTGGGCTAAGGTAAGGAGATCGGGTCAGGGAGCCTTTTAATTCAGAAAAAAGCTGGAGATGACAGACTGGAAGCCCAATCAGATATTTTATTTATATCACAGTGATTATATGTCATAAGACTACAGAAAATGCCCAGGAAGACAAATCCAAAAGAAATATTAAATGTATCACAATGCTGGACCTCCAAAGAGTCATGGTATACCCATTGTTATTGTTACTTCAATCATATTTTTAAATAATTGTCATCAGAAGACTAAAAGAAATGTTTTTTTTATGGGAGTGACACTCTTTACTGTGATGTAAAAGTGAAAACTGTATTATGAGGATGTTGTTGAACCACTTGCCACAAGCAGTAAAACAAATCCGTCATTTTCACAGGATTTTTAGTTTAAAATCGAGACTTTCTGGACCGTTTTTTTCTCTCGATATAACCTTTAACTGCTGCATAGTGTTTGGCCTACTGCTGCTAAGTCTTTATAAAGTAAAAAAAAAAGTGAATTTAATTCATCGACCAAACAAAACAATTAGAATAGAATAGAATAGAATAGAATTACTTTATTGATCCCAAACTGGGAAATTGTGGCGTCACAGCAGCAGGTTATCCAAACACACAATATGAGTAAAAAACACAATATTAGCAATCTAAACACAATATAACATTAAATACAAAGTGAATTAGTACTAAAAGATATCAAAAATAAGAATGTGAATATATACAACCAGGATTTAACTAAGCATTACTAGTTTTAAATAGGAAGATTAAATATGGAAAATTTAATACAGTGCAATCGAAATTGCGTTTGTCTCCGTCCCACGGTGCAATACATACATGACATCACAAAACTTGAAATAAAGGAGCAGACAGAAGAAGAATTTAATATAATTTGCCCCTCTTTCACTAGACCATAATAAACAAAACGTAGCCTATAATAAAAAAAAATTGCTGCCATCCACATCCTGTTCCTATGTTACAATTTATTTTATAACATTCAAAGAAGATCACGAACAAAAGTTTAATTAACACGTTTAATCATGTTTCTAGAAACATACTGGTTTCTAATTGTTTTATATATATATATATATATATATATCATTTTTTATTTAGATTATATATTTTATTTTATAACATTCAAAGAAGATCACGAACAAAAGTTTAATTAACATGTTCCATCATGTTTCTAGAAACATACTGGTTTCTAATGGTTTTTTATATATATATCTATAATGTTTGATTTAGTTAAGATTTTAAATGTGTAGTTAGTTTTTCGGAAGCCTGGGCAGCAAACCTGACCGATTACCACTTCGAACTCCATCTCCCAGGTGGCATTGCGAGCGGTCCGTTTCTAGGTGTCTAGCAACAGCTACCAGCCCAGACAGCCGGCGGCAACGGGAGCGCTAATTCTCGGTGTGTCTTTCCACGATTATTCGCTGCCGGGTGTTCACATATAGTAGTCAATTGGCTGAAATAGTGGGAAAAAACAACCCTGACCCCTGCACAGAGATATGAGCGGCAGCGGGCGGCCCAGGACCAGCTCGTTTGCTGAGCCGCCAGGTGTTCCAGGAACCGCCGCCGCGTCCACCGGATCAGCCGCTGCCGTGGGGAGCAGCACAGGAAAGTCCGGGGTCCCGCAGGCCTCCGGCAGCAGCTCGTCGGGATGCTCGAACCTAAAGCTTGCCAGTAAGTTCAAATCAGCTACACAATCTTTCTCTGAGTCTGCCCATCCAATACACCTTAAGGTTTGCCTTTACCTCAAAATATATGTAAGTGTTTTGTGTTATAACCTCAATATAAGTCGGTAAAGCTCCTGTGGTGCTATGTAACTTGCTAACATGCTAGCTAGCCAGCTAACGTTAGCTACTTGTTTTGTATGTTACTGGTTCACTGCCCGGCCGACGGATGTATTTATCCCCGTTGATGTCGAATAAGCAGCTTGATGATCACCGCTTTTACTCAGTGTAAAACTAGTCAAATTAATCAATATTAATGTTTTAATTAGAGTGGAGGATCTTTTGTGAATTCACTGTGGTCACTGGGATTGAGCAGGAAAACGGGCTCTTGTTGTTCTTTGTGGTCAAGCGGGACTCATACACGTAAAGCTTGATTGCTACATGCACGGTTCTGTATTGGGGGTGGGGGGGGTGTTGTTGAGAGTGTGGCTTTTAGCTTTCAGTCTGGCTCTCCCTGAAGACGGGTTTGGACGCAGAGTTGCCTTTTCACCAAGGTCACCTGTGGGGCACAGGCTTTAGCAGCAGGTGGCCGACGCCTGGAGGATGCAAGTGATGCACATCCAGCACATGAGCTGCTGGGCTGTCTAAAGGGATGCCAAGGAGTCTGTTTCCTCTTGTTCGTTTGCACCTTCAGCAAGGCAGTGGCTGGTGTAAGCAGAGATGTGTGTGTGTGTGTGTGTGTTTAACCAAACCTTATCATCCATTAGCAGGCAGTGGTGTGTGACTTTGATATTAGAGCCCCAAAAAAGGAGGTCATCTTCAGTTCAAGGCGGGGTGACCCCACACTCTCCCTAAGCTTGCAGCTGAGCAACACTGCCCGAGGAAAAGACTTAATGTTGCCTTCAGTTTGTAAAGATGTTCTTTTGGATCACTGATGGACGTGTTGCCAGGTTTTGCGAGTCCTTGAGGCTATTTCAAGAGGCTGGATTAACCCAGTTAGCCAGATATTTCTAAGAGAGAATGATGTGATTTGACATTTTGAATTACTGGTGAAATTAAACTTGGGCACGGAGGATTAAGGATGTTGTGTTGCCATACCAACAGTGGACTGTCATTATGAACAACAGTGGAAAATATTTAACAAATTCAAGTGTTCTCACCGGCTGCACTAGTACGAAATACTCCTTAAACTAACAGTCCAGTGTGTTGTAGTTGGACCTTGTTACTTGTAGTCTGACAGTATACTTGGCAGTTCCACCCATAATCTATTCTTAACCTAAACAAAGTGATAAAACTGCTGATTAGTGGAGTTATTGGCTTGAGTAGGGTCAATGGGCTTGAGCTTGTATAGCTCTTTTCTCGTCTTCTGACTACTCAAAGAGCTTTTACTCTGCAGGTCACACCTACACATTCACACCCTGATGGTAGAGGAGAAGTGACCATCAGAAGTAACTTATACATTCATACACACATTCATACGCCGCCATTGAAGCAGAGGGAGCAACTTGGGGTTAAGTGTCTTGCCCAAGGACACATCGGACATGTAGTTGCAGGAGCTGGGTATTGAGCCCCTGACCTTCCAGTTAAGAGATGACTCACTCTACCAACTGAATAACCGCTGCCCTAAACAACATACTAGTCGCGTTTGCTGCCTACCTTCTTATTTGTAAAAGTAAAAAATGGTTGGGATGAAAGGATACGATTTTGTCGTCGCTGCAGGTAGCCATAGAAGTTGTTTTAAGTAGCATGCATCAGAAACGTCCAAAAAGCTGGCTCTTTAGCGCCCTCTGTTTGTGCAGAATACCCCCCTTTGCCATGCGGCCAATGACTCATGAGGTATTTTTTATTATGCAGACACAAACATTTAATGAATATATCTGCCCGGTGTCTTCCCCAGCGTCGTAAGGTGCTCCATCCAGCTAGTGCAGTAGATCCAACTCAAGTATCGTCAGTGAGTCATTAGTTGGTATAAATGGAAACACCCTTTTAAATACATATTACATACGCTGTTGTGAATGTCCTAAAGAGAAACAGACAAGTCCAGACATGTTCGTCAGTGAAATAGTTAGAATGAACATACTTTATTGAATAATATCAATGTGAGGATATTCTCACCGATAGTTACATTTTTCACAGATCTTATTACCATTTTTTTTTTTTTTTGCAAAAGTCGAGATAAAAGTATATAAACTACCTATTTGAAGATTTCATGTGCTGATGCAGGATTTCTGCGTTTTGTACAGATTTGAAAAAGCCTGATAATATCATTAAGAGGATTTGGAAATGGACTAGTAAATCTGAATACTTCCCCTCATCCCCAGTATAATTACAGTGCTGCTGGACCATTGTCCTAGCTGTTGTTCTGTTATTCACTGTCTGTGGAGCAGATCCAGGATTTGTCTATGGATGACATCATCACTATTGTCTGTCTCCCCAGCGTGCGATATAATGATAAATGGACTTGAGCTTGTATGGTGCTTTTCTAGGCTTCTGACTACTCAAATTGTTTTTACACCACAGGTCACACCTGCACAGTCATACCCCGATTAACCATTGGTATTAATTAATCCATTCATGCACATTCATACGCCGCCATAGGAGCAGCGGGAGCAACTTGGGGTTGAGTGTCTTGACCAGGGATGCATCGTACATGTAGCTGCAGGAGCTGGGGATTGAACCCCGACTTGCCGGTTGAGAGACGACTGACTCTATCACTGAGCTACAGCCGATAAAAGTATTTAAATTAATTCAAAAATGAGATTGAGCTCTGAAATAGTATAAGAACATCTGTTTGTTTCTGACAAATACAGCAGACAGTTATGATAAGGAAAGTCATGTGGCAAAAACCTGAGTGGAAGTATTACAAGAATACTCCCCCCCCCCAGTGTCTGATGTCGATGTCAACAATTTCATCCTAATCAGCTCACAGGTTACTGAAACAAACAACCATGATCATCTGTGAAGTGGACACAGTGTGGTGTTTGTGGTGTACAGTCACATGAGCACAATAAATCCCAAACCACAGATGCATGATAGAAACCTCACCCTCACACCAGAGGCGCTCCCTGAAGAGTAGATGGCCTGGTTAGATTTGAGAAGATCGTGCTGCATTAAAGTGCATATTAATAAGCTCAACTTAAATCACTTGAAGCTACAATACTCTAAGAATTGGAGTTCATGTGAGTACGGTTGGTTTTTATGTAGTAGAGGCAAGACATTAACATATTCAATCTACTGCTTTGCATGAATGGGAATAGTTTTTCTTTTTGCTGCTAGAATTAAAAACACAACGTGTAGATATTAGTGGGGCAAAGGTAGATATATTGAACGTTGTTTCAGGGATTTATTTTTTCCTCTCGGAGACTTGAGTTTCCGTCTTTCAATGTGAGCTGAATGACAGGAAGCAGAGTGTGACAGAGTGCACCGCTGATAGGGAAACACCGACACAATGAAACAATGACAAGACAGACACACCGACATATCCCGAGGAATCCATCATTTTTTATTTTGATCGATTGTCGACCTCTGGGAAGTTAAAAACAAATAAAAATAAAAAAAGACCCCTTTAATCTTCTGCTTTCCTTACACATCATCAGGGAGAAATATGTAACACAGACCGTTCGCATGTCCTACTCTTTACCTGGAGCGAGTGCACGAGTGTCTGTCCAGAGGGTGAACTGAGCGACCCGGTCATGCCGCAGGCCTCACAGTTCCAGCTGTAACAGATATCACCAGCACTCATGCAGTATTGAATAACAACCATCAAACTTTTGTGGCTGAGGACAGTTTACTGAGTGTGCGTGGAGTGGCTACAGCTAGCCGAGGTGTATCAATAAGTGCATTGTTGGTTAACAAAGCAGTAAGTATGTGGACACGGACACGCTGACAGTGATGCACTACGGAGACGGCTGCTCCATTATTCCGTATATATTCAGTATGAATCACCTTTAAATCACGAGATCTGAGTAGATTCTGTAGGTTATAGAGATACATCTTAAATTGTAAAGGTCAATTTGTTCAATCAAGATTCTTGTAGAAAAAAACAAAACAGTCGTCCCTCATTTCAACTGTCTCAAGAGATACTGTTTGAGGTATTGGACTTGACATGTTCACTGGTACGGTACGTGTTTGACCAGTACATCTCCACTGGATGGTCAAACAAAAGGATCTGTGTTTCACTTGAACAGTTCATCAGGACAAAGACAGCTGTTGGCCTACTTTTGAGTTCATTCCCAGTTTAATTAGGCCCAGTGTCTTAAATATGAACCCTGTCGTTCCTTTCTTCTTTCTGGAGGCTGCGTAGAGTTGACATCCATTCACTCGACTGTCATTAACCTAAATATCCAAACGGCGAGCGGAGAGGCGGCCCAGAAGTGAAGTCTGGCTGCAGTGATTGTGCAGGGTTGTATATCAGGGGTATTGTTTTAGTCACGCTGTAAAGGGATTTGATATCATGACCTTTTGTAGCACAGAATTTGAGCTGAAGCAGCTTTTTTTTTCAATCCTTTTTTTAGTATGAACACTTTAAAACAATGATCAGAAACCTGCCGTGACTCATAACCACATCGCTCCATTAACAATGTGCTGAATCATAACTGTGTTATTTCCCCTGACCCCATGCTGACCCTGTTACTGCTTGTTTCCTAGGAGACAGCGGGAAGGTGACGACCGTTGTGGCCACGCCGGGTCAGGGACCGGACCGCCCTCAGGAGGTCTCTTACACTGACATCAAGGTGAGCTCAGGGCGGGAGTAGAAACCGGGCAGAAAACAGTCATCACAAAGAGCTGTGCCCTTACACGCTGCAGTTCATTTTATTACCTCATCTGCTACTGTAACAGACGCTGCTATCACCACGCTGCACCGACTGACTGAAACATGTCTGCCTCCACTTGATAAGGTTGTTGAATCAATACCAGCGGCTCCTTAATAACTCTGTGTTTTTAGACTTACTCACTTCAAAGTTTAAGCTTCTGAAAGCGGTCGCCTCGTCTGATCTCAAAAAGTGACATAACTGTGTCAGTTAGAGAAAGATGAAATTGCAGAGGATAAGAAGTATTGTATCAAAGTACAGACCTGCTAACAGTCAAGCGGCCTCTGGTGTTAATAACCAAGCCCATCAAGCATTATGTTCAAAGTTGGAAGTAGTGTGGAAGTTGACGTTTCAGAGTTTTTGGTATATTTCTCTAAAAGCAACTGAGAAAGATTTATCAATGATTTAAAATGTACTTTTTTGCTTTTAGGCCTTTTTTTGGACATCTTGCAGTTAAAAATATACAACCAGAAGAAGATGGTGCTCAGCACGATCAAATCTTTGTGGATGATGGTTTTTTTTATGTCTACATGATAAATGAAGCGTGAAGAAGCAGACGTGCATCCAGACATAACACGAGTCTAATCGTCTGTTATGATCTTCTTCTACTGTTACAAAGTGTACCAGGGATTTTTAAAGTCAACAGTTCCCGATGCCTGTTTAGCTCGTACTGTATGTTCAGACACTGAATGCACAATTCATCTGGACCAATCAACAACATCCTTGTGCACTGTGAGAGTCCCTTCCCTGAAGCATGAGGTCAAAGAGTTCCTCTGAAGAACAACTACGTTATTCCCCCGGTTCTTTGGTTCTTACTGTGTTTACTGCACTAGAATAAGGGAAGAGGTCCTCAAACTGTTCTTACAACTATGAAAAAAGATCCCTTGATTTGGAAACAGCCAATGCGCTGTTGTTGTTCCTCAGCTGACTTAAGTCAAATTCAATTCTTTGTCAAGTCAGCATCCATGTAACCCTTATACATCCTGTCCATAGCCGATTTCACATTTGCACTAATGAAAGTTTCTAGATGATTTCAGGAGGACTGACCCTGAAATCCTCCTGACCCTGTTGTTCACACATGCACCTCTCAGAGGGAGACTATACCTATTAGACAGGGATAGTCTTCACACATGCAGCTCACCTGAACACTTTTTCAGGAGGTTTGTGCGAGTGTGAACAAAGCTTAAGACTTAGCATTCCTCTGTTAGCTATTACAGCTTTCTTCTTTTGTGGAAACCTTGCAGGTGATTGGCAATGGGTCATTCGGTGTGGTGTACCAAGCTCGCCTCATTGACAGCCAAGAGATGGTGGCCATTAAAAAGGTTCTGCAGGATAAGAGGTTTAAGGTAAGCCTGTTTTGTACTGAATGATTATCCATTGTGGTGTTAATTTGGGTCAGACATTACCTTTTCTCCCCCTCATAAAAATGCATTAATATTCCTGTTGGTGTTGATATTAAAGTATATCATTTTCACTGTTTCTGTTTGAAAGGTTTCCCTGTCTTTCAAAGTTCTTAACGCTAACATTTGCTCTAACAAGCTCGTGTGTTTTCTCTTGTGCAGAATCGAGAACTACAGATCATGAGGAAGCTGGACCACTGCAACATCGTCAGACTACGTTACTTCTTCTACTCCAGTGGCGAGAAGGTGCAGCTCAAGATTGTTTTATTCTCATGAAATGTGGTCAAACAAACGTTTGCAAGGTCATTGTATTCACGCACTCTAACCTCAGAGAACGACGCCATCAGGAGATTACGGTAAAACAGAGGAAGTGATGCACACACAACAAAAATGAGATTACTCATATGCAGCAAAAAAAAAAAAAAAACAGCCATGAAAAATGGGAAGCAAAGCATTCATTGGACTGACAAATATAAAAACACTTCTGAGTTTATTGTTGCAGAAGTAATAACTGGAATGAGGATGACAACAGTCACGCGAAGCAGTTTGACCATGCAACAACATGTTCATTACACAATAACATAACATCTGTCTGATAACGTTGTGAACTCAAACATGTTTGAAATGCTGTGATTTCTCCTCTCACTCTCTCCCTCCCTCTATCTCTCTCTCCCTAACCGGTGCTGTACAGAAAGATGAAGTGTATCTCAACCTGGTGCTGGACTTTGTCCCTGAGACGGTCTACAGGGTGGCCAGGCATTTTAACAAGGCCAAGAGCATCATTCCTATCATATACGTGAAGGTACATTTCGTCTGTTTCCTGTTAAGACTTTTCTGTGTTTGTTAAGTAGGTTAGTGGAACAGGTCTTAGGGCGCACTCACACTAGGCAACTGGTCCTAGTGTGAGTGCGGCCGAAAACTTCACTCTTCTTTTATCGCTGTGTTTGTGTGTGTGTTTAAACTTCAACGATGTGGGAAGCTTATTTTCTGGTGTTCAATCGTCCACAGGTGTACATGTACCAGTTGTTTCGCAGTCTGGCTTATATCCATTCCCAGGGTGTGTGTCACAGAGACATCAAGCCCCAAAACCTGCTCGTCGACCCAGAAACTGCCATCCTCAAGCTGTGCGACTTTGGCAGGTGAGTTCAGCGAACAGATGGATTTCTGCCACTCAGGCACCAAGGATTCAATGAAAAGAAATGTCAAGAAAATGTGGCATGTTTTTACGTGCAGAACGGACAGATTTTAACGGATCTTTTGCCATTCCTCTTTAAAGATATCAGAAAGCAAGATTTAGGCATGACATAAACATTTGTTGTACTGTGACCGCATTCACACTTTCACACGTTGTCTATTTTAAGAGGTTTGATGTGTTCAGTTGTTCCGTTTTCATCCCCTCACCAACCCTTACACACCAGCCTTTCTTTGCAGTGTGCTTCCATCAAACTTGGTTTCTTTGTTTCCTCAGTGCCAAGCAGCTGATCCGCGGTGAACCCAACGTGTCGTACATCTGCTCTCGGTACTATCGCGCCCCTGAGCTCATCTTTGGCGCCACCGACTACACGGCGAATATCGACATCTGGTCAGCAGGCTGCGTACTGGCTGAGCTGCTGCTCGGACAACCCATCTTCCCCGGTGACAGCGGAGTCGACCAACTAGTAGAGATTATCAAGGTGAGAGTTCCCCAGGCACCTGTTTGTCTGATTGTAAGGCTCTTTAAGGTTAACACAGTTGATGTTAGGTTTTTAGATCACACGCTGGTTGTAAACTTTGAGAATAAGTTTTGGGAATTCAATCCGCTCATAGTCTTTTTACTATTGTTTCAGGTGCTGGGAACCCCGACAAGGGAACAAATCCGAGAGATGAACCCGAACTACACAGAATTCAAGTTCCCTCAGATCAAAGCCCATCCATGGACCAAGGTGAGTAAACATCAAGGATGTTACTGGCAAATAACGTCCCTGTCAGATAAACACAAAGTTGAAGTCAGACCAGTCGACTGATCTCAAGTCGAGAAAATACTATTTTGAAAAACAGTCAAAATTGAGCAGAATCTATTTTACACGGGATCAGAGCCTCTGATTGGTTTGCTTAGTTGCGCTAATGTTAGCAGTGCTAGCACCACTAGCCTTTGGTCCTCCATGCAGGTTAGCGTCCACGTGCCTGTGCTGGTTACACGTTGTCCTGGTGGAGTTGTTATATGCCAGTTTAACTTGAAACAACCAACAAACAACTTCATCTCCATTTTCTGGATAAACACTGCCAATCTGCTCCGCTCTGCGAGATGCTGTCGGTGCACCAAGCTGGTTTTCATCGGGTTAGTAGAGTGACCAGAGCTACAGCTCCGCCTAGTAGTGGGCGCCTGGGTTACAGCTAACATACAACATGTGACTGGGATTGTGAAAGCCAGAATTCATGAAGATATGAATAATTCTTTAACTAGCAGCTGTGGTGCCGCCCAGCGAGGTCGATTAATCCTCGAGGGGACATTCTGGTTTTATTCTGATACTGATTGAGAGACATGCCACTCATTCACACACATCGGCCCCGAAATCCACACATCCACAAACAGAACCTGTGGACATGTATTTAAAGGAGAGATGTCTGAGTGAGGGGCTGCACACAGGGGGCTCCCTTTAACTGTTGGGGGCCCGGAGCCTTTCTCAAAGGCACCTCGGTAGTACAGCAGCACCTCTCTGAATAAGTCGGCTGATCACGCCTCCTTAGTAAACACCACAAAACTAACTTCATTATAAAAGTCTAAAACTAGAGACAAAGAACTAATTCTTGTGTGATTTTCATGACTTCATGTAGAGTTTATGAAACATTTGAAAACGAAATACTTTCTAATATAAAAACAAAAAGGATGAATCTATATGAATGCATCTGCTCCAACAAGTGAGAAGCATCAGAACAAAAGCAGAGTGTACCTGCGGATGTGTCGTTGCCCACACAGTCTATTTAAACCTGCGAGGTGAATCACTTCAGTGTCCTCCTCCTGATAGTCGGTTAACCCTGACACTGAAAGAGCTCACAAACAACGTAAAACCTACAGAAGAGGTCGTTCAACATTTACTACAAGGCGTATAGATTTAAACTCTAAAAAGTGCATGCGACTGTGTCTTATAGTTTCTTTCACACCTCTGTGACGGGTTGTAACAAACAGCTAAAGTTTTCTCTGCGTCCTATCTTTGCTTCAGTCAAGTATTCAGCTAAATGCAAAGTCAAAAAGTTTAGGAAATACTTCAGTTCATGTTTTTTATAAAGATTTATTTTTGGGCTCTTTTTATTTGGAGAGGACACTGGATAGAGTAGGAAATCAGGAGAGAGAGCGGTGAAGGAGCCCCTGGTCTGACTTGAAGGCCGCTCGCTTGTTGGACTGTAGCCTGCTGCGCGACTGAACCACTAGGCCATCAGCGCCCCTATCTTAAGGTTTTTAAGGATAGAAATATGTTGTGATATCTGCTCAATAACTCGTGTCAACATGAACTCTGAAGTAATAATTGATATAAATCATCTGAATCATTCAGTCCTAAAGCTGTAGTATAATGAAGGTCAACCTCTTTCCTTCTTATCAATGATTGGAGTTGTTGCAGAAACCTGGACTAAAGCTCTTCTTTGTTCTTCAGGTGTTTAAACCTCGCACCCCTCCAGAAGCCATCACTCTCTGCTCCCGGCTGCTGGAGTACACGCCGGCCTCTCGCTTCTCCCCGTTAGAGGCCTGCTCTCACGCCTTCTTCGACGAGCTCCGCCAGCCCAACACACGACTGCCCAGCGGACGAGACCTGCCCATGCTCTTCAACTTCAGCCCCACAGGTACAGACGGATTCAAGCATCCATACCATGAGCCTTTCACAATAAGTGATTCATCCTTTATGAAGTTAGAAGAAGCTGGATTTACGTTCACTTTTGTTCCAGATTCCTTCAGTTCTTGGAGGTTTTTCTGAATCAAACCTGTCCAATCTGCCTTTTTTTTTCTCTTGCTTTGTTTTTGGCCAACACTGCGACCTCAAAAGGAATGCATGAATGCAGTGTGCTCTATCCTACTGTCGTCATCGTTGTGTGACTCTGTGCTCCTGATTTCTGACTCACCTTGAAATAAATCCTCGTCTCTCATTATTTGCAGAGCTGTCAATCCAGCCTCAGCTGAACTCGACCCTCATTCCTCCTCACGCTCGCTCTCACACAGCTGCTTCCGCCCACGGTGAGAACTCTTGATTTTAATGCTGCAGTCGCTGTATCATCGATGTTAGTGTCGCGGTCAGTAGTGAGTGAAAACAATGTGTTAAGATTTAGTGTTAAATCAATCGATGCCATTTGTATATTTTTGTCACTGTGTCCTCGCTTCTGATGAGCTGGTGAGAGGAAGAAACATCCGATCTATCTTTGTCTGTTTCACCTGGTGCTGCACGAGGTCGAGACAGCTGATTCTGAGAACGCAAAACACATAATGAAAACATCATGAATAATAGACTTCAAACTTCCTGAATAATGTGTGCTGTTGAACACAAGGGGGCAGTATTCAACATGAAATCCCCTACATGTGTGAACAGATTGGATGTCTAACACTGGTGTCTTACCTGTTAAAGATTTTAAACTGGTTTGTATTGAACACATCCACACGGCTGAATTAATGTGACTTTGAAACATAAACTGAATTGATTTTTCTAAAACACGTCTGTTGAAACTAAAGTCCTTTAGTGAAATGTAGACTTCCTGAAGCCTTTCCTTTCGAAGATGTGACAAATGAAATACTTTTATTAAAGGGGAACAGGGTTTCTCTTTTTCATGAATGAATAAATACAAACCTAATGTTGAAATATACCCTAAAAAACAAAGTGTGTCGATCCCCTGCACCTGAACCCAGAGTCATTGTAATCCTCTGCTCTCCGTGTCTGTGTGTCTGTGTGTGTGTGTCTGTGTGTGTCTGTGTGTGTCTGTGTGTGTCTGTGTGTGTGTGTGTGTCTGTGTGTGTGTGTCTGTGTGTGTGTGTCCTCGACTCTTTATGTTCGACTCACTGTCTGTTTCTCCTCTCCTGTTCTTCAGATGGTACCGGTTCTGACTCATCTCAACACAGTTCAGTACCTGGATCTCTTAACAGCATCTGAAGCAGCTTCCTCACCTGCCTGCCTGTCAGCCTCACCCTTACCTCAGACGCTCACACACACACACACACACACACACACACACACACACACACACACACACACACACTGTACTGCTTTCCTCCATGCTGCTTGCTCTCCTCTTAGATGATCAGTTCTGTACAGTGAACACGATGAATAACCAACATTAGCTCTGTAGCTGCCGGGTCGTAAACTACAGCAGGAGATTGTTACACACACTCTGCTTTGGGGGGGGGGGGGTCTGTGAAGGTTCAATAGTGGGGGCTGGTCCTCTGTAAGATAACCTTTTTTTTAAGCAACATTTCTTCTCAATGTTTGTGTTTATTTATTTGACTCATTCAAAGAATCATGAGGGTTTTATTTTTTTATTCTTCAGTGTCGGTGAAGGTGAGCTGCACCCTGCCTGAAATAGAAAGCCCAAAGTGGCTCCAAATGTTCAGATTCAGAGGACGTTGTATTCCACTGAAGCGGAGTGAGCAGACGCAGGGAGGGAGCCATGTTGTTTTAACCTGTTGTTAACGTATCCGCTTTAAAGGAAGCCTTTATCTGAGTCCTGTTGGAGCGTTACTGGATGGATCAGTGAATACATGATGTTCAGAAACAACCGTCCGTCCCCCCGCACACTGGCTGCGTCAGTGACCATGTCTCATTTTCTTCAGTTTGTGTGACTGGTCTCGAGGGCCTTGACTCATAAAAGAGGGAAATAGTCGTCTGAAGGTAAACGAGTGACTGCAGAGTGTCTGTGTAGGTACTCAGTCCTCATCAGGGTCTTGGGTAAATGGAAGCTTGATCCTAAGACATCTGCTCTGAATTTGAAGATCTTGAAGTGTTTCATCTCTCCTCCTCTGAAAGGCTAGACCTGAAGAAGCTTTCAGAGGAGGAGAGGTGAAACTTCTTCTCCTTCAAGATCTTCAAATCAAGACCAGTTGTCTTTGGATCAAACTTTGGACTGACTGCAAAGTGCCGCTTGTTCTGTCCCGCCAGATCTGGCTAACGTGGTCGTATAAAAACTGAGCAGGTTAGCTTCTGAAACTGTTTTAGATCGTTACAGCAGAAGAAGACTGTACGCCTCTCTGTGATCACTCAAGTCGACATTGAATCTCGTTTAAAAAAGTGAGATGTTACTCAGCATTCGGGATCACTTCCCTTTAAGAAGTCATTTATTCATGGAAGAAAATAACCAAATCTCGACCCCTTTTAACCTCCCTAAGGGCCAGCAAAGGGCCCAAACACTGAACACAAACATGAACAGGTCATCAGGACTTTAACATGTGATCTATTTGTTTCCCTCATGTTTCATTCAAAACCTTAAATGGAGTTGAGATCAGGGCGTGACTGTGATCGGTGAAAAGTTGAACATGTTGAATCAGAGAGACGGAGGGTGTCTGAGATCGATCTGAAAACTCACCGATTCTCAAAGGAATCTGTGAGTTTTAAGACGTTTAAATCAGTTTTCACTTAAAGAAAACGATGAAGGCGACTTTCTCAAACCTGCTCGACACCAGAAAGAATAAGAACACATTCAACACATGCCGTCTTATTAAACAGTCAGTGAAGGCTGCAGAGAGATGTAAGAGTTCTGGGTAAGGGGTTTAGTGTTTCATTAATTTTGACAGGGGGTAGGGGGGGGGGCTTCATGTAAATGTATTTATTTGTTTTTTAATGAGAGCTGGATGTGGAGGAGGGTTTTAAATGGTGTCGCAGCTTCTTAGGCAAACCGTAGAAACTAAAATAACTCTGAGGATTAACGGACGTGTGCTGGAAGGCTTAATGTGAGAACAGCGATTAAACACAAACTTTTCCAAAAGCCGGGCAGTTTGTGTGTTAGTGTGTGTCTGTGTGCTGTTGTAACTTCTATCTTTGTGAGGACTCCGTTTGAATTTCTACCCGCTGATTTGGTTGTACTGTCACAGTGAGGATTTGTTGAAGGTCCTGGGTCGGAGAATGTACTATCACAGTCCCCAACCTCCTCCGTATTGAAGTATGAACGTGTGTGTGTGTGTGTGTGTGTGTCTGATTCCAACCTGAAGTCTAAACAGTGTTTTAGGGATTAGAGCCGTAAACAATACAGATCTTTAGTAAGCAGTACAGACCACTTGAAAGTTTGTAGGATAGTATATTTGATACTATTGTACCATGCCTCCACCTGCTGTTTTTAACTGCAGCCATGTGTTTTTTGTTTTTCTTTATTATTGATGCTTTTCGACTTCCCCCACACTCGGCACATTCACCTTAATTTCACACGAGGAGAGTAGAGAGCATTTTTCCATTCTCAGCCCGCTAATCTCTCGGTCCTGTTGGGCACATGTTCAGCTTTCTTTGCTCTGAAGAGTCAAACCGGCGTGTTTGATAACCTCTGCAGGCGTCACACTCAAGAGCTCGCAGACTCTCTGTAGCTATGAAAAAGTGTGAGGGGGGGGGGGGGTCGGGGAGAAGAAGCCGGACAGAGGAATCAAACACAGCTGGGTTTTTCTCAGAAGCCATTTTTTTCCCTCACTCTCCATCTCTTATCGCACATGTAAATATCACTGATTTTTATTTTCCTCTTTTTACTTTTTATTACAGAGTTGTTTATATCTTATCCCCCGCATCCTGTCCATGGAAGCAGTCTTAGTTTGTGCATCTTTTTTTCTTTTTTTTTTTGTAAATAAGTTTCTTTTTTTCACTATTCAAAATGTAAATACTGCAAAGAAGAAAAAAAAAACTCAGCCTACTGCTCATGTTCGTTGATGATCTTTCTCTCTCTTTCTTTCTCGTTGTCCGGTGAGAATCCTAACGTAGCTGTTAACATCGTTAATAAGCTGTTCGGTCCTCCGTCTGGACCACACCTGGACTGTTGAATGGATTCATATTTCAAGAGTTCTGTTCCAAAATCATCTTCTCATGATAACCTCACCTGTCTAAAGGAGGACCGAGCATGTCACCTGTGTCTACTCCTTACAATTTAATAAATGCAAAACCTTCTGAAACATCATGTTTGTTAACTTATTTTTTGTTACAATGATTTAATTTAAAACAGCAGTTTTTACAGTGAAGCGTCTCAGTTTGTGAAACTTTAAAAAGACTGAACATCAATTTTAACAGAATCTCCACAAGGGGGCGCTATTCACTTTTTAGAAGGCATGCTTCTACACATGCATGATACATTTCCTGTTGTGTATGTCTCAACCAGGTCCAACATTGAGGAAAAGTGTCCTTGCATCGTATACATCTTATTCTTTATTTGCATCAGTATTTAGTGCAGCGTATTCTTTTTCAGAAATGTTTCAACTATTTCATGTGAAGCCTAAACACAGCTCCTTCCTGACTTGTTTTTGCAGTGTCACACTCAGTGTGTAGGGCTTAGCAGCATGCAAGACATTGTTACTGATTTTAAGAACTAAAGGTGTGGTCGTCCGACACGAGGCTGTTCCTCAGTCACATCTATCAAAGTGAAAAATGTGTTAAAGTTGTAAAATGTGCAGAAAAGGCTCAAAAGCTAAAACTGTAGTTACTCTCTTCGCCTGCAGGTTGCGCCCCCTGCAGGTGAAGAGAGTAACTGAGAGTGTTACAATAGCAGTATCTGTTCCCTTCCTTGCCTCTAGATGGCAGTCATTGACATGTCCACATCTTGCCCTTTAAAAGAGTCTCCTCCAATTGAACATCTGACAGTAAAAAGTTTTTAAAAAGGATAAAAATCAAAGCCGATGGCCGAGCGGTTAGTTTGTGCACCCCATGTACAGAGGCTGTAGTCCTGGAAGCGGGCACCCGGGTTCGATTCTGACCTGTGGCTCCTTTCCCGCATGTCATTCCCCACTCTCTCGCTCTCTCTCTCTCCTTCTTCCTCCTTTATCCACCATCCTGTCTCTCCCATGAAGGCCCAATAAGTCTTTTTCTTCCACACGCTTTGTTTTTGTTTGGAACAGAACTTTCTTTTTTGTGCATTTTGTCAAATTGCAATATATTCTTACTGTGCAGTATTGAGAAAATAGTCTTAGCTACAGGTCACTTAGGTGTGAAATGTCTGACATGCGTGATCTCACAAGTGTTTAGTTGGACTTTGAATCACATTCTGACGTCCGGCTGGTTCTCAACATGGTGGGCATTTTGTATGATGTGCTGTACGGCATTCAGAACTGCTGCTAATGATCACAAGATGTCAGAGACAGACTCGTGTGTCGTGACTGCAGACGCAGCTGTGAGCGTGTGTGTGTGGCCAGGAAACATGCAGACAATGTTGTACATTATCTCCAAAAATGTACTTGTGTTTGTTTTTGAATCATCTAAAATGTGTGCGTCTGTTCAAGTTTCCATCTTTAATGCAACAGAGAGATGTCACTTTTATTTCATATGTTCACTGCCGGGGTCTCGATGGAGCGGGAAAGAAAGAGAAAGAAACACAAACCTGTCCGTCTCTGTTCTGTGTGTGTATCATATGGACTCATTTACTGTAATAAAGTGATGAAACTGTGTTCACATTGTGTGTTTCTCTTTCACTCATTTGTGTTTAGAGGTACAGTCCTTCTGAAATCAGGGTTTACATTTACAAACCTGCCTGCTGTGGTTTGGTTAAATAAATCACTGGACATCTTGGCCTCCCCTAGGTTATTGTAAAATGATCATATCTCTGATTAAACGCTGTCAAAATAAGTCATGCTTTATTTGTGGATTTAGGAATATCTGTGTCATACTGAAAATCAGATTATGCCCCATTTTTTTGCTGAAGTTGTTCTCATGATATCCTGGGATTTCAGCCCTTCTGGATCAGTCTGGCCACTTCAAATAAAACTGACCGGATGTTTAAGAAGTGGAGTCAAAACTTTTAAATAAAATGTTCAAATTTGAACAGAAAAGAAACACCGACATGAGATGCAGAATAACAAAACAGGAACACGAGGTAATTTAAAATAAATAAAACCAAGAACAAGAAGAAAGAAAGAGATACACAACATCTACAAGGTGAAGAGACAAAACAAATTCTAAAGACATCCAAAACCAAAACAGGTAACCATAAAGACAAAATTATCAGTAAGAGTCGAACGAACACAAACAGACAAAAGGAGGAAAACTTGCAGACAAAATAACAAAACATAGAGGTTTGACGTTTTCAAAAGAAACAACCAGATTCAAAAAAGTATCCACAAAGAAATGCTAAACAACAACAAAAATATACACAAAATAACTACCAAAAGATTTTTTTAAAAAAGTGAACTAAAACAAAAAAACACTTCAGAAATGCAAAAAGACCACAAAGAGACATTTGAAATATGATACCTATAAGGAGACACTAAACAAGTCAAAGAGACAAAATGCTCTGAAGTGATGAAACTGTAAGTCTTTCTGCTTATAGGACAGGTTCAGGGGTCCAAACTGAGGGGTCCAGTTCCCTTTCATTCTTTCTCAGCTTTTTCACCACATGGAGAAATGCTCCGAGGTAAGTACTTCGATTGCTTGAAGTTTAAGTTTCTATACGAGCAATATGTTAAACTTGGATTTAGGATGAATTGTTTATTTATTGACAATCCGGGCAGAGGTGTTGCTTGTCAACAGGCAAGGCAGGCAACTGCTTGCTTGGTGCCCCAGACCAGTAGGGGCCCCCTGAGGGCTCACAAAGTTAAGCCAAAGCAGTGGCCCAAAATGTAAAAACAAATCTTGCAATACAGTAAGAAACCTCCTTTACAGGGCCCCATTTGACAGCACTCAGTCTCGTTGCCCTGTTAAACTGAGCATGCATTATGTGAAACCAAATGTCAATGAAAGTCAACAGAGACAAATGAAGGAGAATCATCCGTATGAAGGAGACAAAAGAAGAAACGGGGAAAGAACAGAAATAGGAGGAAGAGTCGGGACAACAGCAAACATGATGGACTGGTGATGAACGCTGGTTGAAAGGGCCCCCTAATTATTTATTTTATTTATTTATTAGCACACATATAAGAATACATCAAAATAGGATTAACAAAAACATAAAAGGTGTGTCAGGAGAGGTCAAGACGCCAACAGGCTTATACAAGGGACCTCACCTCTTAAGAGACAAATAAATCAACTAAACAAATCGAATTACACAATTTCAAAACAAAATTAAATATAAACACATATACAGTAACCTATACACGTATTCATACACACACACTTAGACACATACATACAATAGAAAGACTGAGAATGTTAACCCTCTATCAGCTAAATGAAACAGGCATTGATCTATTAAAAAGGGAGTGAAATGAGTGAGTTGATGGAAATAAAAGAAAAAAAGAAAAGAAATATATTTTATATATGCAAAAGTTTGACCTCATGGATTAAATGTGAAGAAAAGTCGTTAACAACGTGTCTTTTGGAATTCCATATTTGTACCCCACGATATCTGATGGAAAACTGACCGTGTTTGGTTTTATAAAAAGGAAGATGAAGATGATCAATCTGTCTGGTATTGATTTCGGAATTGGCCTTCTCCATTGCAGCTCCCACCCTCTGGAACTCTCTCCCTAAAAACATCAGAGACTCCCCCCACACTCACTTCCTACAAGAAATATCCTGAAAACTCATCTTTTCATCACCACCTACAACCACTGACTCTCATCCTCTTCCCTTGACACTATTTCGATTTTGTATTGTTCTCTTAGTTTTTGCTTTTTTTTTGTTGTTGTTTCCTGTCAAAGCGTCTTTGAGTATTTAGAAAAGCGCTATATAAATCTAATTTATTATTATTATTATTATTATTATTATTATTATTATTATTATTATTATCATTATCATTACCATTATCATTATTATTATCATTATTATGATTATTATGATTATTATTATTATTATAATTATAATTATAATTATTATTATTATCATTATTATTATTATTACCATTATTATCATTATTATTATTATTATTATTATTATTATTATTATTATTATTATTATTATTATTATTATTATCATTATTATCATTATCATTATTATTATTACTATCATTATTATTATCGTTATCATTATTATTATTGTCATTATCATTATTATTATTATTATTATTATTATTATCATTATTATCATGATCATTATTATCATTATTATTATTATCATTATCATTATCATTATTATTATTATTATTATCATTATTATTATTATTATTATTATTATCATTATCATTATTATTATTATTATTATTATTATTATTATTATTATTTTTGCCTAGGGCCCCAACAGACTAGAATCACCACTGCATCCGGGTAGTGACATTTAATGACGATGATCCTCAGAGATAACAGAATAAAAAGTATAAACTTAGAAATTCCCACTGAAATACACTGAGGACCGGTGTTACGACCACGACTCCTGAAGCTGCAGTTATCATCCACACCACAGGGGGCGCTGCTCGTTTTACCCCCCTCCGCAGGTTTGACGTTGAAGCGGCGGTTAAAATCCTCCTCTTTACTTTCCTCTGGCATTAAAAAAAAAAGAGAGAGAGACCGACGACAGAGCAAAGAGAGTCCCATCTCGAAGGTAAATCCCCCGAAAGCCAGAGTATTTAAAAAACGTGTGACTTGTATTGGTGTTAAATAAGAGTGACGTGTGTTCGTATTTGTGCTCGTCTTGCTTCAACATCGATATAATTCGGTGTGACTCGGAGTCACATGTAATCTTAGCTTCACCCGGCTAGCTCAGCTAACACTGTTAGCAAGGCGGCGCCGGTTGACGTCAGGCCCATTATCTGGTAAAAACCGGAAAATAAACTCAACGGGTAACTTGTAACCAGGGATACGTATAATAAGTATGATAATCAGCCAACTTGTACGGGTTTTAATCAACAAGAGATAAGACATTGACACAATAAGAGCTCATTTAAAAACACTAGCTGTGAGAAAATTAATGCCGGTGTTATGTCGAGAAATGCATCCCTGCCGAATATGGCATGAAGCGGCGGAAGTGTTCGAGAACGGTACACGTCTCTTTTTCTGAGGGCAGATCTGTGATGACGGAGTATCTGAAGTTTATACTTAATAATAATGAAGTGTCCTGATTGTTATGTAGACTCAGTAGAAGACGCCTTTTCATCAGTCTGTGTAGATATGACATGTAAACAGGGTGGATGCTAAATACGACAGTACACTGTGTGTCTGCCACGTTTTGATTTGTCCTGCAAGGTTGCATGCAATTCTCGGCATAACACCTGTGTATGTCTTTAATGTATTAGCAGCTGGTCAAAACAAGTTGTTAAATCACTGAACTGTAGTTGGATAGTCCAGAGAAATGTTAAACTAAATAATATCACAAACCCCAGCCTTCAAAAAAGATTTATTACATCATTATAATAAATGGATTTTGTTTTATAAAGTGATTTATTGCAGCTATGGGACCAAATCTGGTCGCTGGAGAGGTGCCAGATCACTTCCTGAGCACTGCCGAGGTGCCTTTGAGCAAGGCACCAAACCCCGTCCCCACCATCAGCCCAGGAGCGCCCGCTTCCGTCACTCTGACATCTCTCCATTAGTGCATGTCCAGAGGATCCTGTTTGTGTGTGTGTGTGTTTCAGCCTATGTGTGTGTTGCATGATTTACAGAGTGTAAACACAGAAATCAGGATTTACATTTACAAAACCTGCCTGCTGTGGTTTGGTTTAATAAATCACTAGACATCTCCTAGGTTACCGTAAAAGATCAATAAAAGTAAATCTTAATCTTATGCTGCATTTAGGACAAATTGTAACTTAAATAACGGTTAATGATCAGACCAGTTTGTTCCTGACTGTTCTCTAATTTATTTAAACGTATTATTTAGTTATATAGTAAGAGTGTAACAAAGGACTTAAATCTGCTAATTTTGCTTCTCTTCCATTCCCCTCTGATCTAAACTCATACCGACCTGCAGCTCTCTTCTGTTACATACGACATGTGTTGAGGCTTGTGGATGATGACGTGTATCATAACAGTCATCCTAAACGAGGAGTGCAACATCCATAACAAACAGCTTCAGATGTCAACGGAAGCATAAGAAGCTTCTCTTTAAATATGACGTCCACATACCTCTATCCGTGGATTAACTGGGGATGTACTAGCGGATTTCTCTCTCCCGATTATATCAATACAAAAACGTTGGGAAATATACTCGGACAGCCCGTCTGAGTATCGTCTATGTGTGGGAAACATTCGGTCCTCAACGCAACTGATTCTTTGGATGTCTTAACTTCATTTATTTCTGTGATCTGAATCAGTCATTCAGTCGCTCAGGTTGATAATCCTCGGCCTCTTGTTTGTTCTTCCTTCAGGTCAAAGTTGAGTGCCATGGCTCGTGGGCAGCAGAAGATTCAATCCCAGCAGAAAAACGCCAAGAAGGCAGCAGACAAGAAGAAAGGTCAGGCTGCCGACCAGAAGACCGCAGCCAAGGCGGCGCTGGTCCACACCTGCCCCGTGTGTCGGGTAAGAGCAACACAAAGATATCACCTACAGCTGAGCAGAGATTTTTTTTTCAGAGGAGTTGGTTCATATGGAGAAAAAGAAATCACTTGTCTCTAGATAATTATGTTGCTGAAGTTTGAAATCTTAACAGTGTTTCAGCATTTTAGAGGTGATGGCGTTTTCAGATAAAAATCACTGTCTTGTTCTGCATGGTTCTTGTCCGACAACGTTCAGTGTTCAAACACAATCTGAACCAAATTCAAAATATCTGAACACGATTTAGTTCAAAATTATGAATGATTGAGAGTTAGTCACGGGTTTGAGTCTGTTTTATTTTTTCGGACTCGGGAGACTCTGACTTAAGACTCGGCTCATCACAAATCGTTGAGAACTCGAAGAAAAACGTTTAGAAAGGAGTGTCGTCTGTTTGTTCCGTGCAGTAGTTCAGTCATGAAGTGGATTCACTCGGCTTGTAGTGTAACATCACATCGCTGGGTCTGTGTCTGAAAACGACGTCAACTAGGGATGAGCTCATGGCAAATGTACATGCTGGATGTAGGCAAGCAGCCAAAATAAAGGGTAGAGGAAACACACTTTGTGTTACATTGACTCTTTGTCTTTTCCCCTTCTGTTAATTTACATATTATCCACTTGAGTTTTTTCTTTGTTAGTTTGTCATCAGTCTCAAAACTCCAGATTTCCAGAATGAATCAAACCCGACTCCTTCATTTGATTTCAGACACAAATGCCCGACCCCAAGACGTTCAAGCAGCACTTTGAGAGCAAACACCCCAAATCTCCCATGCCTCCTGAGCTGGCAGACGTTCAGGCATAAAGTCCTGCAGACATGACCGGACCTGAACCACAACAAGTAAGACGTACTGAAGTGCTTTCTGTAAACTCTAAATTCTGCTCTTTATGTATTTTACATCCCTGTAGTTATTAACGTGAATACAAAACATTGACATACCAAGGTCACGTCTTTAACAAAGAACAAATCTGTTGCTTATAGATACACAATGACCACGGACTAAAGGTTGAATCATGGAGGATGAAGGATGTTGATGACGAACACTTGGACCCGTCAGTATTCATGGACAGCGGGTGTGATTGGGAGGGGAGGGATGTGTGTATGTGCTGTGTACGTACATGTGTGTATGTGTAAGAGAGAACAATAACAAAGGCAGAAGTACACCAGCACCCATTTTTTTATATTTATAATGTCAAACTACAGTTCTATTCCAGATTGGATCAAGGAGAGATCAGCTAGGTAACCCACTAACACCGAACAAAATACAATTCACGACTGAAGATGTGATGGGTCAGAAAAAACTACGATGGGGGAATAATGAAACATGGTGATCTGGCTAGTTAACAGATTGTTATACTGATCGATGACACAGATGACACTCGCCCTGCATGTCCCGTCGGGTGCTGCTGGGTAAAAACTCACTATTATCCTTCTCACTTGAGCAAAGCGCTTTCACATCTTCTTCACAATCAACAGTGCACACTCTCAGTGAATGACAAAAAAATGACCAAAACCCAGAACCACTGGCCTCTTCTAGTGACTCCAGTTCACAATGTAATGTTAGAATTTCAGTTTTTGTTGGTGGTTAAACTCGTACAATAAATTTCTCAAACTGGATGTGGAGATGAACAGTTTTTGTTTTAGAGAGACTCGACAACGTTTACTCCTCAGCTCACACTCACCGGGCGTTTTCATGGCTCAGAACAGTTATTCATTCTTAACAAAGTTCTTCAAACCCGTGTTTAGAAAAGGAACTTCTTTTAGCTCCTAGTCCACAAGAGGAGCAGTCAATGATTGGCAGAACAATAGAGCCACTGCTGCACCGCTAGCTTCAAAAGCTGCTAACAGTAGCTTCAAACTGGACCAAAAACAGATGAATGGAGGGAAAGTCACCTCTCCTTTAAGTCATCATGTAACACCCAACACAAAACAAACCCCCTCTCTGACCACAGGGTTTGTCCTTGTTTTTCAGCCAGCTTATTTTACTTCAGGCTCTATGAGCGGTGCACAAAGAGCCCTCAAAGGTCCGGTTCTCGGAGGGGGGGGGGGGCCTACACAGAACTGTATGGTCTGAAAACGCCTAACAACACCATACAACAGTACCTCACGTTAAAACCACACAGCAGTCTCATCGTGTCTTCTCTTACCCAGAATCCTCTTCTACATTTAAACGTTGTTCTTCTCAGGCTTCTTTCCCAACAAAATCTCTGCAATAACATCCCCCTCCCCTCCCCCCCCCGTTACACCAGGACAGGATTTAGTGTCATAAACTGAACCCCCGTCTAAAGTATGCACAGCTTTTTTTCTTTTTTCATGAATGCTTTCAGTTGTTATCGGTTTAGCGCTAATTACTAATTTTTGGAGAATTAAATTCATTAACTGGCCGAATGATTATTCCCCCTTCTTCATGGTTCCTCGTTTATTTACTAGAAGGACAAACGTCACTAATCTGCTTTCACTGTATTTTTTTTTTTTATCCTTTTCAATAAATTGTAAAATGTATTTAATGTGATTTATCTTGTCAGCTGATTCTGTTTCCATGACACCCACATTCATTCAGTCATCGATAACTAGATTAAGAGGTTGATGGAATCAAAAAAAGGTAATGACACGATGTCACCTCGGGCTCTGATACGTTGTGATTTTTACATCATTTTGACGACAAACGATTATCGCGACAATGAAAAGATTAATAATTGTTGCAGCTCTTTTTTTTTTTTTTTTTTTTAAACCCTGTATACGCAAAATATGCGTTGTCAAAGCAGAAGTATAAACCAGGCATGAAGCTTCACTCTCTTACACATATTTACATCAAGTTTAAAATAAATGAAATCTATCTTTCTCTGGAAATAATGACAAAACACCAACATTACATGAAATGGTCAATAGATTGTAAATATTTCTTTATTCAGTTAAACAAATTGAAATGTTCTCTTCATATACACTTATAATTTCTTTTATAAAAACAGAACAGGCATCACTCATAGCATCCGCTGCCATTCAATATCATTTGCCATAAAAAATCTGTGAACACTCGAGGTTAAATAATATGATTCTCTGTGTTTGTCGCCTTTCAAAGAGGCATGAAAATATATTTAACTTAATTATAATCTTGAAAAAAACTGAAGTGAAAGTGATGTTTATATCAGGTCAAAGGTATTTCCATTTAGACTCATCAGTACGCCTCATTTGTTCAGCTGGCAGCTCAGAGCACAGTTTGAACCTACATAAAAACCTCTGATGTATAAAATAGTTTCATTTTAAAAACGTGGTTTAAAGAACGTATGTGGAATCACTTAATTAGTTAGAATCCTTAAACACTGATAGAGTTCATGTCTGCAGTTATAAAATCCTCCCTGGAGATTTGTGCTGGATTCGTCTCAGTGTCCACACTCATAGACAGCCACAGGTCTTGACCACCATGTTGCGGTGTTTCTTCAGGATGACGTTGTTGTTGTCGTCGTAGAAGAGGACGGAGATGGGGCTGAGCTTGGTGGGGGCGCAACACGCTTTAGGAACCTCGTCAGGCTTCAGGAGGTGGACCTGAGAACACGGCAGAGAGAGAGAGAGAGACATGGTTAAGATCTGAACTGAAACATTTCCCCTGATCCTTCACTGGAGGATTCAGATTCTAATACAGCGATGTAGAAATACGAGAGTGTTGCCAACAAAATCTACTTAAAGTAAAAGACGTCATTCCTGCAAAGAAAAGCTCCCGAGTCGCATTAGATGTTTAAAACTGATGGAGCTCATTTGAACCTTTTTTATTCAGTTCGCTCGTTAAAACCAGTCCTCCATTTCCAACCCAGACGTCGAGCCCCTCTAAGAGCCTCAAAAATAAATCTGCAGGGTCGAGTTGATGGTTCATGGGCGAAGAAAGAAACACAAAATTATGCTGCATGATTTCTCCCAGACATTTTGGTTGAATCAAGTTCTTTGGGTCGAAAAAAAGTTATTTAATAGAATCTGTCAGACATTTTGAAAGGAGAAAAGTCTGACACAAGTCAAACTACGAATAGATTTCATGGTAAGAATTCACAAATGAAAATCCCTGAAAACAACAGATTATATCTAACCATATAAGACAAGGTATTGTAAAAAGTGAAGGTGCAAAATTTAAACAAAGGAAGTGCATGCAAGTTGTGTAAAATAACGCAAATCAAAATCCTGATTGAATAATGTAAAAAAACAAAAGAAGGGTCTCATTCTTGAAAGGACAAAGAAAGGTGCTGCAATTAAATTATTTTCATGTCATTGAAATTTAGCAGGGGCACAATCTGAAGTACTGAAGTAAAAACTTCTACCTCACAAGATTAAAAGCAGCATAGTAAAGAAGAAGCGTTACATTTATAGTTAACTTCAACTTCTTTCTTTTCATTAATACTGAGCAACACAGTTTAATCAAATGTGTTGTAAGATTTCAAAGCAAACAGGAATGAAAAGTTTTCTCCAGAAGTGAAAAAGATTAAATAAATATGATCCCTGATACCAGGGTGTGTAGAAGTGTTTGATATGTTTTGTGTCATCGCTGAACGTACCACTTGCTGTATGAGTGCGTGGTTTGTGGCGTTCATGCAGGAGCCCAGAGGATAAAAACATTCTCCATCACAGTAATACGCCGAGTATCCGGTCGGCGCCAAAACCCAGTCCTGAAGGAACAACACAGAACAACAACACGAGTACATATAAACATTTCAAATAATAAAGTCAAAGTAGAATGAACAAAAGCTGAGCGTGTGAGCTGACCTTCCATCCCAGGTCACTGAAGCTGACGTAGAGCTCGTGTTTTTTACACGGCTCACCCCCGTTGTTTGCAGGACTCCGGTCTGAACACGGACAAGATTTAGAAATATGACGTAAGGTTTAACACTCAACATCATTTCTTAGTAAAGTAGGGTTCCTTACTTCTTAAAAAAAAGTCTAATAAATAGTCCCAAGTGTTCAGGAACGTTTTTATGCAGCAGTACTTTCATGTATTTCAAAAACTTGAAAATGTCCCAATAACTAGATAATTAACAATTCAATTCCTAAATCTTTGTAATAATAGAACAAGACATTTTCTAACAGTAAAGAAACAATCAGAGCTGTAACACAAAAAAGTCCAGAACATGGAAGCTCACTGTGGATGCTGGGGACGGGGAGGTCGTATTTGGGTTTCTTCCTGCGTGGATGTGGTTTGACGGCTCGAGGCGGTCGGCACGGGATCTGACTCTCCCTGAAGAAGGTCACCATGAAGGGCTGTTTGGAGCGAGGACCCCGGCGACCCACCAGCCCGATCCAGCCTGCAGAGAGGGAGCGGTCTGATGGGGACGGAGCAGAGATCAGTCAGTAGAGGAAAGGTTTGACTACTCTAAATAATTAAATCAAAAGCTATGTAACTCTAACAAACCCACCTTCCTCTGTCTCCACATAGAGACGTATTCCCAGGTTGCTGCGCGGGTGGAGGAGCCAGTGGTTGGAGGCTGAGGTGACGTCGAAAGCCAGCCAGCCCTCCTGACCTGCAGGCACAGACTGCATGTCCAGCAGCACCAGCTCTGGCTCTCTGACGGGGGAGACACGAAGGGTGTGATCAACATCTCGTTATACACAAATATAGATTCATCCACTTTTAATGAGTGTGATTATATTATTAGTACTATTAGACTGATCCGCCTCTTTGGGTTAGTTGTTTTATTTGTTGCTCCTGTCACACTTTTTTGTTCTGTGCTGAAAGTACCCATCAGTGACTGGACAAGAGCTGACAGTGTGCCCCTGTTGCTGATTGAACGGGACCTGCACTGCATGCCTGTATGTGATTGGACGGGAGCTGCGGGTACAGGTTTTAGACCAGAGCTGCAGAAGCCAATACGCTGCCGCCTTCTTTCCTCCCTCCTAAGGTGACCATCATAGAGAGAAAGCTTGTTTGTTTGATTGACAGCGTCAGGCAGACTTAACTTTAATGATGTTGTAAATATAATCATGTAGATAAAATATTTTATTTAATTTAAAATGTAGGCAGTGTGCTCTCCCTGAAGTTTGAATGTTCTATGTTTAGTGGAAAATGAATCAATAAAACAGAAAATTTGTTTGGTTTTTGGCTCATGCATACATACTGTACATACATGCAAAGATAAATACAAACATATACATACATCATACATTCATCGAAAAAAACAATATTCCGGTACATACAAAAAAATGAAAGAATTACATGCATACCTATGGCGAAAAATGAAAAAAAAACACATACATACATTCATCGAAAAAAAAGGAAGAAAATAAACTAATGTACGGTTACCTGTGTCTGTTCTCTCGTTGGATCTCATAGACAGAGATATGCAGCGTTCTGTTGGCTCTCTGGCCCATCGTCAGGGTTTTATATATACGAAACTCTGCTGCCGTCACAGTCTCACCCTGAGGGAGGGGGGTCAGGTCGAAACGAAACTCCTTCCAGTACGGACGCGGCTGTAGGAGGTCTCGCTCCTGCTCCACTGCAGACAGAAAGGCAGAATCAATTAATGAATTTTTATTTGTATAGCTCCAATTGATTAAATAATGTATTCTCAAGAAACGTCACTAGGAGGGAGAAGGTCTATAAGTCTTTGTTATATTAATCACAAAACCCCAACATTAATCCACAATGAGCACAACAAGCAACATTTAGCAAAGTTACAGTGGCAAGAAAAAAACTTCCTTTAATCAGGTAGAAACCTCGAGCTGGACCAGACTCAAGTTGAACAGGTAGACACCTTTAGCAGAACCAGACTCAAGTTGAACAAGCAGAAATTTGTGAGGAACCAGACTCAAGTTGAAAAGGCAGAAACCTCCAACAAAACCAGACTCAAGTTGAACAGGTAGAAACCTCAAGCAGAACCAGACTCATGTTGAACAGGCAGAAACCTCCAACAAAACCAGACTCAAGTTGAACAGGTAGAAACCTCAAGCAGAACCAGACTCAAGTTGAAAAGGCAGAACCAGACTCAAGTTGAAAAGGCAGAAACCTCGAGCAGAACCAGACTTAAGTTGAACAGGTAGAAACCTCGAGCAGAACCAGACTCATGTTGAACAGGCAGAAACCTCCAACAAAACCAGACTCAAGTTGAACAGGTAGAAACCTCAAGCAGAACCAGACTCAAGTTGAAAAGTCAGAAACCTTGAGCAGAACCAGACTCAAGTTGAAAAGGCAGAAACCTCGAGCAGAACCAGACTCATGTTGAACAGGCAGAAACCTCCAACAAAACCAGACTCAAGTTGAACAGGCAGAAACCTCGAGCAAAACCAGACTCAAGTTGAACAGGCAGAAACCTCGAGCAAAACCAGACTCAAGTTGAACAGGCAGAAACCTCGAGCAAAACCAGACTCAAGTTGAACAGGCAGAAACCTCGAGCAAAAGTTGAACAGGCAGAAACCTCGAGCAAAACCAGACTGATGTTGAACAGGCAGAAACCTCGAGCAGAACCAGACTCATGTTGAACAGGCAGAAACCTCGAGTAGAACCGTAGACTCATGTTAAAAGTAGGTTTACACGTATCGGGCTACAGATTTCAGAAAGAGATGACATAAGCGTTGTCTCAGGAAATCCCAAAGAAAAACTCAATTGGGCGAATAAACTGGACAAGTGATATCTATACATTACGCAAATGTGAAAAAAATATGTATATGTTTTTACATTTTTTCCCAACCGAACTTTACTACAAAATGTCTGCTTTTTATTTACTCAGAACTTTTAACCTCTTTCTTTGCTAGTGGAACAAGTACTCAGAGCCTTTACTTTGTTTTAAGTAACAGTCCAGCTTTCCAGACATACTCAACTTAAAGTCCAGGGGATCGATAACCACAGTTCTAAGTAGTTTAGTTTGTAAATGTTAGGTCAAGCGTTGGGCTGGATGTTCCTTTTGTAAAATGTAAGTTCAAGATGAATGTAGTATAAAAAAGGTGCAAATAGATTTGGTGGTGAGTCCTGAGGCTAGACCAGTTGAGAACCACTGTTCCAGTAAATGTACTCAGCAAGTTTCCACCTCTGTATTTACCAATGTGCTGCGTGACCACACTGTTTATCCAACAGGATGCAGGTGAGATGTCTCTCTTAAGGGTGCGTCATCAGCCGCCGTTCACATGCCAGGTGCCATGTCTTTTAAGCAAACTCAACCGATGTAGAAACATAAAACTGATCTGACACACGTCTACGAGTGGTCTTCATGTGCCCAACATGTTAGTGCAAGTTGATAGACTGTAACCATGGCAACATGAATCTCAGACATCGGTGGAACCCCCCACTGGGACACAAAAAAGTTTGATGCACGTAATAAATAGAGATATTGAGGACAGGACACCCGTGATGGGCTGGGCGTGCTTGAATCACAGAGCACACACACAAACACACACACACACAGAGCAGTAATTAGAGACACTTAGTGCCTTGAACCACAGCAGCTGCTCAGCACACACACCACTAATTGCAGGTCTGCCCGGTATTTTTAGAGTGGCTCCCTCCGCAGCAGTATTTTCATCTCTTCAGACCGTTTGCTTTTTTTTTGCTTTTTTTTTTTTTCAGTGTGTGTCAGTGTGGCTTTTAATTTTAACCAGCTGTGTCTTCCCATTACATATGCGTAGGAACACACACCCATGCCTGTTTGATTGAACTTACATGAACTGACTGCACACGCTGATTAGATTAGTCATAGAAACAGAAGCTGAATATAGAATCTCTGCAGTGGATCGGGGGACGGATGCTCAAAAGGTCATGAAAAGAGAAAATACACCAAAATAAAATGTTTAAAAAAAACACTTTAAGCATCATTAAAACAGAATTTTAAACATTACAGATAACCTGTTCCGATGCCACATTTCTTAGTTTTAATTGCCAAAAATTCCAAGCAAACTTTTGCACACTGTCTAAATTGCACAAGCACATTGGCAGCGTTTCTCTGTATGGAAATGTTGCAAATTTATTTGTGCAATGAAGACAGTTTAACCTCTTTTGCCCTCAGTGTGTGAGTGAAAGACAAACGTTACTGATGCATCTTCAAAGGCACCAAAAGGTCAATATTTGCCGACCTGTAAATATGAATGTAGCTTTGGATTTAAAAATACAGAAGATCTGTGAGCTTGTATAGCACTTTTTAAGTATTCTAATTACTCAAGGTATTTGTACACCGCAGATCATATCTAAACATTCACAGACTGATGTAATCAGAATGATCTAATCCAGTGTCTTGCCAAAGGACACATCAACGTGTGGCTGCAGGAGCTGGGGGATCATTCAATCATTATTTGTATAGCGCCACTTCATGTTATCTGTTTGTGTTATCTCAAGACGCTTTACAAAAGAGCATATGGGATAACATGCAGGCAGGATTACTCCTTTGTATTTCTCACGCCCCAGTTTTCCGCTGAGGTTGAGGTTGGAGCAGGCCGTGCATGAATGAGGATGGCGTCAGGGACGTCTGGTGGTAGTAGTGCCATATCTCCTCGCTGACGGTTGGGGGAGCTCAGGCTACTCGAGAACCTGGCTTCTGCTGCCGGGACAAAGCCTACTGGGCTTCTGGCACGGAAAGGGATCGACCACCAAGCCTTCCGGTTGAGAGACGTCCAACTATACCACTGAACCACAGCCGCCCCAGTGAAGCTTGATGCTTTTTGAACATATTGATCATTAAATTAGTGGAGATGATGTCATTTTGGAAAAAGTGGTAATGAAAAGTAGAGTATCGAAAATGTTGACAACCTTAGTTAGCATGTTAGGATAGATTTAAGTGTTTTTTTTCCCTCATGAGAAGATCTGATGATGTTCAAACTAAGAGTTCACAGTAGAATTTAAACGTCATCCTTTCAAAGGACACAGCAGCATGCGATGTTGGTCAAGGCACGAGTCACCGTTGTTTACTGGATCGTGGCTGTTTGAAGGACGGACTGTTTTGTAGTGGTGAGTGATAAATTTGAGGGTGCATCATTTTCTCCAAAACAGAACTAAATCTGCAAAAGGAAACCATTCATTTAGACGTGACTGTATGACAGACGCTGAGCAGAGAGAGGAGAAGATGTTTCCCACGGTGCACTGGGAGCAGAGCATCGTCCCGGTCCAGAGGAGCAGCAGGAAGGAAGCCATTCAGAGGAGGATGTTTAATTTTTATGCTCGGACAGATAGGCATCAGTCAGGCTGCTGAGCGGTTTGGACGGGAGGACGAATATTCACACACAGTCTGGGTGGCAATGTGCTACCGTTTTTCTTCTGTATGGTACAAATGAATGCTGTGTTTGCTTTGTGCAGAAAACTGTTTCAAGTGTTAAGACTGAACATTTACTTTAATAAACAACAAAAAAGAGAGGACGGAGAAACTACATTGTAAAGTTTAGTGGATTTAAATAAATACAAAATTTATCAGCTCTAAGATTCACAGCTTGGAACTATTATTGGATCTATTATTGTGTACTGTCATCAGCACTATCCAGTTACTCAACGATCACACAAACAATGATTTAGTCAAACGGGGTGGCAGTAGCTCAGTCTGTAGTTGACTAGGGTTGGGAACTGGAGGGTCGCTGGCTCAAGTCCTGGTGCGGACCAAATCTAGCAGTTGGTCTGGTAGCTGGAGAGGTGCCAGGTCACTTCCTGAGCACGGTCGGGGGTGCCCTTGAGCAAGGCACCGAGCCCCCACCATCTCAGGAGTATTCACTGTGTGCAGCCCCTCCACTCTGACGTCTCTCCATTAATGCATGCATGTGCCTATGTGTGTGTAGCGTGTTCAGCAACAGAGTGTAAAATGTACTTTCTCCTTCGTTTTATTTATATTTTAGTCATTAATCTGCGAAAGAAAGAGACCTTTGAGTAAATATTGAAGAGAGGATGTAATCTGTTCAGATCAGGTTCTGTAATACTTTCATTATTGATCCCGATCACACGTCGTACTGGAGATCTAGAGAAGTATCCGGATGCTCGGCTCAGTGTGGCTCTGGCAGAAAGGCCGGTGGATGCAAGAATGCTGGGTAGAAATGCAAACCTACCAATATAGTTTAGCAGTTCTGGTTTTGATCCTCTCTGTGGTGGTTGAATGTTTGTGGAAATTTGCACAGCAGAAAATCTAAACCTGCATGTCACTGACGGTGTCATCAAGTTCACACACGGTGTAATTTCATCCTTTCAGTGTTTACATTTTGTGGCAAAAAACCACCAAAAAGTCCCAAACTGCTCTGTCATTTAAAATTGATGACAGAAATGTTCTTAATTCAAGGTTAAAGGAAAAGTTTGTCATCTAGGGAAATACACTTGTCTGCCTACTTGCCAAGAGTTAGACGAGAAGATTGGTGAGCAAAATCCGCAGCTTTAGAAAGCAGCTGATTAGCTTAGCTTAGCACAAAGCCTGGCTGTTTCCAAATGTGACAGAATCACCCCCCAGCTTCACCTTTATCTGTGCTTGTTTAATGTGCACAGAAACAGAACTAAAAAGTATGTGTCCTTGAAGTCAATTCACACGGCCATACAGACGTCTAGCACACAACTGCTGGTAAAACTTCAACGTGTTGTCTTTACTCTGATTTTTTAACAGATGAATGACAGCAGAAATCAAATTGTTTAGTGAGCTTTAGAGGAGTTGGTTGGTGGCTTTGGTTAGAATTTATTGACGAGACCTGATCAGGTGTTTCCCCCTTCTCTCGAGTCTCTATGCTAAGCTGAGCTAGCCGTCAACTTCTTAAGTATTTTCATGTTATCCTTAGCAAGAACTTATCTTGACTGGATTGAGTCAGAAATCAGGGAGAAATAGAGCGGGGAATGACATGCAGGAAAGGAGCCACAGGTAGGACTCAAAGCCTGGTCGCCTGTCTGGAGGAACACAGCCTCCTTACATGGGGCTTGCTCACTAACCCCTTCGCCACTAGCGCCACTTATCATCTCTTTGAACCACTGTTCTTAGCTGATATATGTATGACTCATTTTCAACCAACAGTAACCTTCAGCGCAACCAGTGACACAGATTACTTCTTGCAGGTGTGATTCAGAGTAAGTGAATGCAATTTGGGAAGAGATTGTGTCAAACTAATCGTCCAAAATCATCTATTTTTCATTATTTTGGTTTGAAATATGGCGTAAATGGAAGCCAAGAAACTTAAATGAAGTAATAAGCCATGATGAAAGATGGGACTACTCCATAGGATAGTTTAAAAAAAAAATCATAACATGTTTCACAGTTTGTGGTCAACTTGCTGTTAAATTTGAATTGACTTGATGATAAAGTTTTAGAACAATCGACTGGACAGGAACAACTAAAGCTGTATTCATGAAGACAGTGTCCTGTTTTATGATAGGCTCAACACAAATACTTTATGGTTTAATAATTTATCAAGTTGACCAACAAGTTGGCAACAGAAAATGACCCGATCTGCTTAAAACAGCCAACTGATGATGGACTCTTCCAATAACTTACAATCTCATTATGTGATGTATCAGCCTGTCTTATATTTTCTATTTGTGAATTATGAGATTTTGTGGACGGAGCTCTTTAGTTCTTTTTTTACTTTCTTCAAATTTTACCTCAAGCAAAAACACAAAGAGATCTAAACTGCGTCACTTCCTGTGCACATTATCCTCCAGAGACCTCCTGGCAAAATGCAGCTGTCTTTAAGCACAGGTGTAGACTACTCACCCAGGTTGACGAAGCTCATCACCGTATCGGCCTCGCTGACCACCGTCCCCAGTGGAGGTGTGTGCGTGCTGAGAGTTGGCGGTGCTGCGTAGCTGACCTGAGTTAACCTCTCTGCCCCCCCAAACCTCCCCATGCCAGGTCCGCTCACAATGATCTCATTCCCATCATCCTCTCCATCCACTGACATGGCGTGGTACAGGTCCAGCATAAAGAGCGGTGCAGAGGAGGGTGGACGTAGTGGAGGGTGGGGTCTGGGTCTACCTGGCAGACCCAGGATGGACAGGATCTCCTTCTGCATCTCCTTCTTTTCACGGCCGCTGAGCCGCCTGAAGCTGGAGTGAACCACAGCCTCGGCCTGCTGGCTCCACAGGGAGAGGAAGAGAAGGAGCAGCAGGGGCAGGAGGAGCAGAGTCCTCAGGTGGAGGAGAGGCCGGTGAGGTCTGGAGGTGGAAAAGGTCTGGACCCCATTGCAGTTTTTTTTTATGTGCTGCTGTTCCATGTTGCTGCAAAGACAAGAGAAGCTGTGGGAGACGTCTGAGGCCATCGCTGTGGTCTGCTCCTGGCTCTTCTTCTTCTTCTGTTGTTTGCAAATCAAAACTTTTATACCTCAAAAAAAAATAATCACAACTTTCAATTTATCTTCCTCCAGTGTTTCCAGACGCAGAACAGTGTTTCTCCTCACTCCTCTGACTGTTTGTCCTCCTGTTTCAGAGTCTCCACAGACAAACTCTCAAACACTGATTTATGCCTGATGTGTTTAGAGGAGAGCTGCCTCTGGACTGGACGTGTTTACTGCCTAAAACTGCCTCTGTTTATCTCTCCCTCCCCCCTTTGGCTTCCTCTCTCCCTTGTCTACCTTCTCTAATCTGCAAAAAGAAGAAAAAAAAAACCTCCTAACACTCTCTTCTGCTCCCTCTTAGTCGTGCAGCAGGAGAAAAAGAGATAATAAGCGTAAGGGCATAATTACAAGCCTACAATGTGTTTTGAATATAGACAAACAATGCCTCTATAGAAGATTGGTCTGCGCTTTGAAGTCGTAAACTCGGAGGATGGAAAGCAATTTCCGTGATAAGCAGGTGCCGCAGAGATTGGAGTGGAATTTGAGAGCCGTGTCATTAGGTTTTCGCTCCCAAACCTCCCTGACCTCACAGGAAAATGACGCTCACACCTGCAGCGAGTTGATGAGATACCTCCAGTGGATCTCCTGCGGTGGAGAATCCACTGCTGGAAGCTCTTATCCAGTCATCCTTGAGTGCTTATTTTCCATTCATGACTGCTCCCCACCCACATGTCTCTGAGGTTCCAGATGTCTTCCTTAATCCAATTTATAAAAAAACGATAACGCCAGGAAATTGTTCCCTAATTTGTAATCCTTCAGAGAGGTGAGAGGGTTTCTCCCACAGTCCTCAGATGTGTGGCGGCTCTTGTTCACACTCAGTTGGGAGTGTGTGAGCGTCTGCAGCAGTGAGAGTGTATCCTGTGTATGAAGCTTACAGAGTGAAACAGTTGTTCATAACCAGGAGGGAGTTTCCATCCCAGCCTCCGCCTCTCCACCTCTTTCAAGTCTTTAAACTTCTCCCTGCTGCTCACATCTCATCACCACCCCTCCCAGCGGTCTATTTGGGAGACCTCATCTCTCTCTCTCTCTCTCGCTCCCTCTTACATCCACCCATCTATCTTTTCATCTGCTCATGACTGCTTCCTTTCATAGCTACTCAACGTTTAAGTCTCAGGCGGCTCAGCGGGAAGCACGTCAAGTGGCCTGATGCCCTGTTTAAAAGCAACTGTAGACCTATTCACAACAAGGATTAAGAAGTGAAAGTGAAGGGGATGAAATGTACCTGAAACGTTATTAATCATTCATCTTTACTGTACTGTAGGCTACCTTTAAAGTTCCAGTGAAAACATGTATTCTATGTTCACTTGATAAAAGTTTATTTATCTTAGATGAGTTTTCCAATGACTATTATCTCTGACTATTACCTCAACCAGCTCAACTTTTTACAAGAATACACCAGCTAGACTTTATTAATAATATCTATATATTTTACTACTGTTTGACACTGGATCATTATTGTAACAGAAACTTGAAGTACTATGGCATGTTAGCTTGAAAGCTAACACTAAGACACTAGGCTACTTGAGTTATATAACATTTTTTAGAAAATAAACAATACAGCAGTAAAAAAATGAATTCCCAAACTTAACGCTAGAGTCATGAGCGTAAAGATTTAGACTATTGTGATCATATAAGATTAGTAACTCATGTTAATTAGTTCACCTTTTAAGGTTAGCATGCGAGCAAAAAGCAGATTTTCCCCTCCATCTGAACTAAACTTACAGTAATATTTTTTGTATGTTGTAACAATTTGGACTTATATCGTGAAGCTTCAAATAAAGGCCCATCCCAATGTAAGGCCCGGTCCCTTTTACTGGCCTGGTGATGCTGCAAGTTTTGACAAATAAAGTCAGGTCTCAGTTAGAGGCCTCGGTGTGTTTTGTGTTCAAATAGTTTCAAACAAATACGAGAAGGAAAAGCAGCAAGACACAAAAAAAGAAAAAGATGAGCTTAAACATCTGTCCAAGAAAGACAAAAAGAGAGTATGCATGCCTGCAACAGGTTTAGGAAGCTCTCTTAAAAAGAAAGATCATATTAATGATGAGTCATTTATCGGCATCCTAATTTGGTACACAATTAAATATTCTGTCTGGTGTACATTTATTCTTTCTTATCTTTGCTGTGCTTTGTTTTGTTTGAAAGTAATTCAAGTTCAGTCTCAGATTGACGTTTGGCCCAATGGTAAATAAAAGCCTGGTAATGCTATTAATTAAAGTTATCGTTTCAGACACTCCATAAATATCCCTTTTTCCCTTTTAGATTATTATTACGTTATCATTTCTTATGCAAAGTCAAAGCTAAAGGTCTTAAACATCACTGCCATATATCTGTGGTTGGAACCAATTAACCACACATTTAAAATTCAAAGCAGGTGTGCCATAAAGCTAACATTAAATACAAACATTTCACCCCTCTGCAGCTGTGGTAGGTGCTCAGGTTAAACTGTTTCACCCCTTTTTCCTGCATCATTTTTTTTAAGGTCTCCCTGCAGCGAGTCTAATGCGAACACATTCACTGTGTTCAAACCCAAAAATTCAGAGGGAAGAAATGACTCAAATATAGTCGCGAGGCTCAGCCCTGTGCCAGACCATGTTTGTGTACTCTCTTCTTCAAAGCGGCCTGGTACTTGTGGTGACTTTGAAAGGCATGAATAACACTGACCAAACCAAACTGACCGCACTTCATTTCGTCCTGGCCGAAAGGGCGAGTCCCAAATGCCAGGAATTAACGCTTTGCTACTTATGTTATTCTTCTCCCCTGCACATCTGAGGCTTTAGGAGTTTTTCTTTGTCTGGAGAGATAGTGGTGAGGAGTGAGCTGTGGAGGAGGAGGTGAAAGAACAGAGGGTGCCCGATAAAACCCTACAAACCCAACTAAAATGAATAATGACATTCCTGAGAGGCAGAAGTGGTGTAAGAGAGGGAGGACTGTCATCGAAGGAGAAGACAGGGATGACAGATGGACTGCTGGAGGGACCGTAGGATGGAGGCACAGAAAATAAGGACTATGTGTTTTTGTTTGTGTACACACAGCTGCAGAGGGAGGACTAGCTTCATCATCTCCGGTGGAACCGCCAAGTAAACAGGACAAAGTTATTTTCAAATTCTCTCTGTCTCGCACAGACACCAAGTGGGACAGTAACACAAAGACTTTAAGTGAAGGGAGAATAAGACATTTCAAATTATCTAACTGGCTTTCAACCATCACTGTGCATGCACCACCTCCCCTGTGTTTACCTCCTCTCCTTCTGTCCACAGAAGTGAAGATCCCCAGCCGGGTGTGTCCTTATCTTTCCCAGGATAATTACCTAGAAATGTCCGGTCACTTCCTCTGAGTCTGTGGTGGGCATGTCAGACGTGAGAATGTAGGCACGCACGCAGGAGAGAAGACACACACTTTGCATCCATTTAGATCATTCCAACCTCTTCAGAAGTTACAAAGATATTCTCACATCAAGCAGACTTTTAAATAAAATCCATTGGTATGAGTATGTAAGTTAAAAACGGATTATATATCTTAAAAAAACAAACAAAGGGAAGCCTGAAAAATAAGGGAAATTAAATATCAGATCAAAGACATCATGGGGGTATCAGTAGCCTGTAGTGGTTATGTTGAGCACTCCATGTTCAGAGGTTATAGTCCTCATTGCAGAGGACGTGGGATTGATTCTGAACTCTTTTCCTCACTGTCTTCAGCTGTACTATCCAATAAAGACAAAGATTGCCCAAAATGCATTTCCAAAAACAAGAAGTCATGTAGGTGGTGCATCTATGCAAATAAACCACTCACTGTATGCATTGTTTGATTGCTTTTATTTGTGAAGCACTTTGTAACTGAGTGATTTAAAAGTGCTCAATACAGTTTTACTTACTTATCACTCCTTATGGTAGCATCACTTTTATTTTGCAGTTACTCACTAACCAATGTGGACCTAACTGTTAGTGCTCCGTTAGTTAACAGGTAGATATGGTGCACAAAACGTTGCATGGTCACATGGGAATGAATAAAGGGACTAACTCAGGGGTTACCAACCTGTTCGACTTCACAAAACTCTGGCAACCCCAGACGTTCAAAACACATGTAGCTTTTTGCTCAAATTAATTTGTCTTCAATCATGTAGTAAGTGAACATCTTTTTGGTGTTTATTATTGTGGACAGAGGAAGTAAAGCTGGGAGGACATTTCTTCACACTGGATGACAGACAGACAGAGACTCTGAAAGATTCTTGTTCTGGCATTGGTCCATAGTAACCCGTGTGTTCCATATCATTTATATTTATCAAAAAAGAAAAGCTAAAGGCGACTCCTCGTGGGGTCGGGAAAGCCTGAACTAACTAGTGAACAGTTTAGTGAGTAACCACCCAGTTTGATGTCTTACTTTCCTATAGAAGTAACTACTGATGGTAATAATGATGACGCACCACTACACCAAGTAATCATTAATTACTTTTGAGAATTTGATTTGAAGTTACTTACTATCATAATCCAGCGGTTAGTGCACGCGCCCCCACGCGCCCCCACGCGTACAGAGGCCATGGTCCTCCCAGCATGTGGCCTGGTTTCCATTCTAACCTGTCAATCCCCACGCTCTCTCTCTCTACGATTCACGACTCTATCCACTGTCTTCTCTCTAAATAAAGACATCCCATCTAGACCTATCAAAGAGGAAGAACCTGAACTTGAAAAATTGTGATCGTTTATCCACATCGTGCCCATTTTGGACATTTCATTTTTCTATTTCCACACCACACGTACTTCAACAAACAAACACAGAATCTTTCAGACTTGATCACAAATCCATCCGTCCATTTTCTCCACTGATGTGGGTTCCAGCCGTCATTGGGCGAGGCACACCCAGAACTGCTCAATCACAGGGCTGACATGAAGAGACAAACATTGACACCTACAAGCAATTTAGTCACCAATCAACGTAACGAGCACGTCTTTGGACTGTGGGAGGAATGACTGGAGGAAACCCACGCATGCACGAGGAGAACATGAAAACTCAAACCACCGTGCAGCCGTCACATAAATCCATAAATAACCCCAACAAATCAAAGACAAGAGAAAGTTTTACTGCAAGCATATTTTTAATACAAAAACAGAACAAAAAATTGTTTATAATTTTAGTTTTTTGTTTTACACAATTGACTCCTAGTAACACCCCTCGCTCCCTCCATGTTGTCATATCACACTGAGAGTAGCACAGCATCAAAAGGTGGAGGACTCGTCTCCTGCGCCCAGAATCCCCCTCCCCTCAGAGAGACAATAAATAAATAAAAATCACCGTAAGATGTCTTTCTTTCTCACTGTAATTTCATTAGTTTCTCCATAGACTTCATCTCTTACGCTGAGATAACACACAGACGACTCGGCCCCATCGACGACAGGACATTTGGAAAAAAAAAAAAAAAAAAAGTCTAGAAGAGACACTTGGAAGGGACATGAGGGAAGGAAACCCAACTCTCATTGGTCCACTCCACTCCGGTGTCCTGTCATTCATATTTGTAGTTCTTTCTACAGATGAAGGGCAAACCCCTTTGGTCATGTTTTGGGAATTGTAGTCATTAGCAAAAGAGAGAAATGAAGAAACAAGGCTGTCGCTAGAATCAGCGATCTAGTGAATAATGTTACATGAAGTAGAAACACACTTTACTCACAAATAAAGTCAGAGAGCGGAGCGCACTTTTCCTCAGTACAAAAAGAGTCACAATGTCTTTAACCTTAACACTACATCACTCTCCTCAGACGGTGATATGACATGAACCTGAAAAATAAATAGATTTTCCTTTCAAGCTAGTTAACAAAAGTACAACTGGATTATAAATTAACCAGAAAACAACGAGAAGAAAAACAAA